GACTTACAAGTCTGGAACGAACTTGCATAAAACTGTGGAAGAATTTAAATCTCGACTAAAAACCCGCCTGTTTAGAGTTGTGTCTGCAACGTAATCAACTTCTAATTTAATGGTAGAACTTGACTTAGTGTCATGTTTTGATCGTTGGTTCTATGTTGCCTGGCTTTGTGTTTTTGTCTTTGTTATGATGTAAAGGTCTTTGAAATGCCTTGCTGCTGAAATGTGCTTTGCAAATAAAATTTGATTGATTGATTATCTCTCATTTCCCCGTTAGTTCAAGTTCAAGATAATGAAATGATGCAAAATACTAATAAAACAACAGTCAGACTTATAGGGATCAGTATTCTTCGGCATGAGTTTAAAAAGATCCACAAGGGGTTTATTTAATTAAAAAAAAAAAAAAGGCTGCATGATATCAGGAAGCAAATTTAAGTTGCAAAAATCAACATTGCTGGTTTAGGCTTGGAGCCGGTTGCTGTTCTCACCTGAGCTTTACAATCAATAGACACCAAATCAATGATTCTGACTGAGGTTCAAACTGTTTTAATTTCAAGCAGTCATATGACCTCCACTACGATGAAATCGGGTCACATAGTTCCTTAAAATGTACAAAACTCTACAATACTTACGTCAGGATACAAGTTGGCAATTAAAAAGACATTGCGAGGTTTCCTTGCTTCGATGATGCTCAGACTTGTTGAGCATTTTTTCAAAAAATTTTTATCAATAACCATCAATGCAACTTTTAAAAATTGTTCTTCCGGGATTCCCTTCCAAGGAGAGAACCAATTCACTCATGCTCTAAAGAAAGTGCACCCCTCAACTCTCAGGTTTTCAATGCTATGGCTAAATATAGCAGTGTCTTCAAAACCCGGGCCTCTTGCAGACACCTCTACAGGTGCTGCTACCTCCACCTCGGCTGCCTATGTTTTTATCTTTTGGTAAAATGTTGCTTCTAAACGGAGCAACATTTACACGTCTAACATATCCAGCGCAGTATTCCAGGTTGTTTCTCCAGAAACGCTTCCTTGGAGCAAGATAACCAACAAGATGCCCTGGAAAATGAGCTCACAAGGGCAGGAGGCTGAACGGCCGCAACCTGCTGCCTTCATGGTGAACAGAGTAAGCAGAAGCATGAATGACTTTGTTTTTGCCAACCACACTGCTGCAGTTTATTGAATTGCTTTACGAGCCGACTTGCAGTGCCAAGAAAAACTCAGTTCTTTCCAATGCATAGCGAATGTCCCGTTGCGTCAAAGGCCGTGGGTTTGCTCTTTATCGTCACATGTAAACAAAACTCGCACAAACGTACATGTCATTTTTAACAACATTCTTTTCCTAAAATGTGGACAATCCACAGACAGATTATGGATGAAAAAGTGATAGAAAAACTGTTTTTTGTTTTTCTTTTCACTTTTTCCACATCTGTATTTTGTTCAGAAACTTTAACGGGATCTTGCAGAACATCCCGATCCAAATGGCTGCTCCTGCAAACAGGTATCTGAGCGGAACCTCCAGAGCAAAGCAGAACAGCAGAACAAGGACAGGAGGACGTTGGAGACCTTGCAGATTTTTCTTTCTTTCTCCGCTTCCTCCCTTGCATTCTCCTCCTCTTTCCTCCAAAGCTCTTTGAGCTTCTTCTTGAGCTCCTCGTCTTTGTACTTGAGCTTGAGTTCTTCCACCTTGCGGTCGATGACGTTGCTTCTCTCTGCCAGGATGCTCTCCTGTCTTTCTCTGATCTCGCGTTCCTGTTTGGGGTAAAGCTTCGCGTGGTAGTGACTGCCTCCGTTCAGGACCACCAGCGTCTCGACCTTCTCCAGGAAGCACGTCACCTGCAGCTGGTCCTGCGGGTTCTTGTTGTCAAAGACGTGGAAGGCACCGCTGCACTTGCGGATGAAGCCGCGGAGGTTGTCATCGCCCTCGGAAATGACCTGGTTTATCGTTTTCCCATCCAGCCGATCCCCGTGGGTGAACAGCACCAGGGTGTAGTCCCACACCCGGGGACCAAACTTAGCTTCAATCAGCTTTTGGGTGTCTTCGTCCTCCTGCGTCAAACGTCCTACGGGGACCACAAACACGAAAGACGTGGGGGCCCGGCCCGTGGAGCGTGACGCGCATGAGAATCTCTCGGATGATTTCGTCCTTGTCACGATCTTTCTCAAACAGCCCGGGCGTGTCGATGACCGCAACGGGCGTCTCTTCGATCGTCCCCTCCTCCCTCTCACAGTGGACGGTGACTCTCTTAAGCTTCATGTCGGACTTGAAGACGACTTTGTTGAGGATTGTGTTCCCGGTGCAGCTCTTTCCGACGCCGCTCTTCCCAATGAGCATGATCCTCAAAGGTTCTGAAGAGAAAATGAGCAAAAGAGATCACCCTTCTGCTGACAAATACTAGATTTTCAGAATGTTCAGAAATGTAACACTGGCTTATGGTAGTTAACTATAGAGTTGCGGTGCTAATAGCAGCTACATGATGGAGTAGCTGTGTTAGCTTTTTCTTTTCTAACTTGTTCCAAACTGTTTTTGTTGACAAATTGCTTTTCTAAAAAGCACATGAGGTGGACTAGCAGCGCTTTGCTAACCACTAATCCAGGACATGTTACTGTGAAGTCTGATGCATGGATAATGAGCCGTTCGTGTCATACAGCAACGGTGCCTTTTCAGTCAGAGGCCTTTACGGATTCACTGAGAGACTGACTGCTATAGGGGAGATCCTTCCTGTCCACAGCATCCCCATCTAAAATGACTCTCTGAAGATACTTGGATTATATAAGTTAGGACAACATTTAACTCTCCTTTGTGTTAAATAACGCAATTTTGAATTGAATTTTGAATCTGAATTGAGTTTGTCTAATTAAAGAGTGAATACTATTTTACCTGAACACAAATATATTCCTGCAAAACTATGAGAAATGAACCTTTGAAATCTTTCACTCTATGTGTAGTTCATCATTGAATTGAGTTTTTATTATATTTGTTTTTGTTAGATTGGCTTAATTAAAATAAGTTTACATCTCAATCTAACAGGGTGATGAATAAATCACTGACTCTGGATCAGAGCTGAGTTTTGTTATTCAGATTCAAATGCGACCTCAAAGCTTTGCTTTCTATTTCTGATGGTTGAAATGTTTCCACATTTCCACGTTGAAATGTAGCCACACGTTAGTTGCAACTTCCCTGCGTCTCTTCCTGGCACCGATTTTCCTTGCGAACCAGTGACCCCGCTACCCTTTCACCCTTGGCCTACCTGCGGCCTGTCCCGCGTCAGGGTTTCCGACAGCAGCCATGGCAGGAATCAGTTCTGGGTTGGAACACGGCTGCAGATTCAACAGAAAAACCAAAGGGAAACCTTCCCTGTGAAAAGCAGCGATCTGGCAACATCTAGTGGTAATTACGAAGTACTTCTGGAAGCACCAACTAGATTTAGCAACTCACCAAATTTCAAACTTATAATTACCTTTTTTCCTTCAAGCCCAAATTGCCTACATTGATTTGCAACAGCCGTTTCCTCCATCAGGGTTCAGACATATTTTTCCAGAAAAAAGAAAGAGAACAATGATGAAAGGAAGTATGGAATGGAGGAAGGACAAAAGGAAAGGGACAAAGGAAGGAGGAACACAAGAAGTGAAGGAGGAAGGAGGCAAGGATAGAAGGGATGGAGGACGATAAGAACGTGAGTGAAGGAAAGGACAGAGACAGGAGAGAGGTAAGAGACACAAAGAGGGGTAGAAATAAGGGCACGATGAGGGCAAAAAGGAAGAAGGATATAAAGATGGACAGAGAAGGGAAGGACACCACATATTGAAAACGGATTAGGAAATAAAACTCAAACGACAGCTCTTATTTGACACACAGTGTCTAACGATGGATGTGGATGTGACTAATTATGGCTTCCAACATGGCCTGCTGTTTTCAGGCTGGAATGATGACCAGGCAAACAAACTGTTCCAGGTTAAGAGTTTACTGCAGATTTTCTCTAGCTCACACAGAGTAAAAAATATACATATAATCTTAAATATATAATAATCACGTCTCTATGAAATGCCAGTTGCACAGAAACGATCCACTTTCTCCAGCTATCAAGGATCTTCTGTCATATTCTAGGCTGGATGGCCAACGACTAGCCGAGTTTGTTTCAATAGATTGCTTTTTAGGAGGCGTTAAGGAATAGACCACAATTTCTAATATGGAAGAGGTCAGAGGAAATATATCTGCCTAATGCTACATTTTGGTGTGTCGGGATCATGGTCCTGATGGAACGTCCAACTGCGTCCAAGTTTTATCCATTTTGTACGACTGGAAGCCGAACAAACCCTCAGTTTGATACTGTCACCATGACGCCTGATTGTTCTATGTTTATCATAATTTCTGATAAACAGCTGATAAACAGCTCAGTCTTTAAGAGTTCTCCTGAAGGCAACACCCTGTCAGTTCATTGAGCTTTGAACACCTGGGCTTTTCCTAACCAAATTAGGACGCCGAGGGTCACATGGTCAAAGCTTGGACACAATCGTGTTTGCCCCAACGGCACATTGATCCTGAAAACACACCAAAACCGCTTTTGGTGTGTTTAAAAATTAAAACCCACAGGAAACGTTTGACAACGCTTTCGAGTCCATCAGCAGGAAACGAACCAGTTCGAACAAACTCAGCTGACTCTGCTAGGAGGAATGGTCCAACACCCAACCAAATTATGCCAGAAGCTAGTTGATGATTTCTAGGTTCAACTCACTAATGGAACAAACTGTATCTCCAAATATTATCAGGGGGTTCAAATACATCCTTAAAATGAATTCCCTTTGATGGCGAGGGTAGGTAAACTTTTCACTGGAAGTGCAACAAACTGAAAGTACATAGAAACACAAATTGATCTCTCGAGGATTCTGATGAGTGAAACCTCTTCTTGAAAATGTTCTTGTTCACAACATCGAAGGAGAAGTCTTCATAAAGGAAAATGTCAAAAGTAGGTTCAAAATGACCATGTTTCTGCCTTACACTCATCATTTCCGATCTGCCAGTCTCTGCAGGAGCGCAATGATCGTGTCCTGCTTGGAGGACAGCAGCTCCAAGGCCGTGGCTATCCTTCCAAGAGACTCTGACATCCGCACCTCCCTCCTCTCCCGCCTCTTCTCTCTGGCCTCCACCCTGCGCCGAGCCACCCGATCCAGGTAGCCCTGCTCTTCCTGCCTCTTCAGGACCTCCTTGAACAACCCGATGCTGCCTTGCTCCTTGCTTCCTTTCTGGTTCTGCCCCTCTGATCCCACACTCGCAGGCGCAGCTAGCGAAGCGGCACTGGAAGCGGTGTGACAGGAAGACGTTGCGGGGAACGACGAGAGGCCAAGAATGTTCTGAGTGTGGCTGAGTGGCGTTGTACCGAGGCAGAAAGGCGCGACGCCCGACGTGAAAGACGGACCTTTTCGGTTTTTGTAGGCCGACGAGCCCAGGTCCGTGCTGCCGGGTGAGCCGAGAGCAGAAGATCCAGAGGCTGTTTCAGTAAAACACGGTGAAGAGATAAACGACGGAGACGGTACGATGGTCGTTGGCTGAATGCTAGTAGTGACAATGTCACCATTGAGGACAATCACAGGCTTCACCTCTGGAGCATTGACAAGCGTAACAGTTGTTGCGGTCTGCGATGGACTGGCAGCGGCGCTACTCATAATCTGGCTGGTGGCGGCTCCCAGACCGGCTGTGTCCAAAGCCCCGGTCCCAGCAAAGTCCCCATTGGGGCGGATGATGGTGGTGGGCTGTGGAAGCTGCGCTGGTTTTGCTGGGATCTTTGTTGAAGGAATGGCCAGTGAAGAAGCTGTACTGCTACCTTTGTTCCTTTTGTTGCTAATGATCTGCGAGCCAATAGTATCACAGAGCGTGGCGTCCATGAGCTACAGAGAGAAAAGGAAAACCACAAACAATTTTTATTCACGACACCAAGATGAGCAGCTGGTCATCTACCATGTAAAATTAACCTAATTAATATCCCTGAGATCTCTGTAAAGCAGGAAGATACTGTCTTGAATTTTGTCTCTGGAAATTTTGAATGACTTTTGCAGACAAAATATATATACACACACAGACATTTATCTCCCGGATCGCATCGCTGTGCAGAAGACGTCAGATCTTTTAACATTATGAGCTCATGCAAAGTTTAGAAACCTTTCTGTTGCACAGAGCACAAGAATTCCTGCACATTTCCTGTCACTTTCCCCACACTCACAATGGTCAGAGTTGTCCATCCACAAAGGTTGAGTTACTTTATAAAATAAAATTCTTCTCCAGGGATCTGGCTCTAAAGGAAGAACATGCAAAAAGTACGTACTTGGCAAGGAGTGAAGAACTGATGCAGGGTGACTGGACAGGGGGATGGAAAATGGGGAAAAACAATGAATGGATGAATGATTGATGGTTATAGATAGATGTGTGATAGACGGAAGCAGATGAATGGATGAGAGGATGGAGGTCTGATGGACAGACGGATGAGTAGAACATTTAGACAGTGGTCCTGGAATCAGTCCAGTTATAAGTCACGTTAAAGTTGAAGTCTTTCATGTTAATAACATTTATAACATTCCCTTTGGGACTGTTAACACTCAGATGTGTTTACATCCTGTTAACATGGTGTTTATCCCTGACTTTTGTTTCTACTGCTTCTTTTTGGGGATTCAGATTTTGTGTCGCCTCCATTCATCTTGGATCAGATAATAGCCTTCATGCTGGATTGCAAAAAGACAAAGCAAAAGAGGACAACAGGACAGTCGGTGCGCAATCTTTTTTTTTTTACTCACACTCGTTACAAAATGTCACTCCTATGTTTTCCTGCTTTAGGAAGGTTTGGGTGAGTCTAAAAATGCCGAGCAGCGGGATTCGTCTCCACGCTCCTCCTCCTGACTTACATCAAAGAATTCCCAGGATGTTTTGGCGTGTCCCGTCTCCCGGCTGCGGTCCTTGACCCTCTTGTACGTGACAATGAGGTTGTTCCACTTGCGGCGGATTTTTTCCACGGGAAGGATGTGGCCCTTCGAGGCCATCTCCTCCTGGACGCTCTGGAAGAGCTGGGAGCGCTCCCGCGTCTCGTAGAGGCCCCAGCGGCGGCCGACGGCCTCGATCAGGCACAGGACAGCTTTGGAGGAGAAATCGGAGCCGGAGGAGAGCGCCTTGTCCGAGACAGCAGGTGGCAGCACTGCAGCTGGGACGGGACAAAGGCGGCTTTGATCAGGGGCTTTTCTCTCCGCACTCATCCTCACATAACTTTACAAAGAGCACATAAGTCATAGCTGGTGCTGCTGTGACACACTTAAGAATATGTGCCCAAAAATGACGACACAGGGTTTCCCATGACATTATAGTAATTTGAGGTTTTCCTCAAATTACTATAAGCCTGGCTAAACAATGTTCATTTATTTTAATTTTCTTTTAGAGATTTTATAGTTGATGTTCAGATTCTCTCCGGTAAAATATAACCATCAAGTAATATTTTCAAATTTCCTGTCAACTTTGAACATTTTTTTTTTACTGAAAACCATGGTGGCCGGCTGGATGAACGACTGACGAGTTTTCTGGGGAAACCCTGCGATGTAAATTTGTCGGTGGAATTAAAGGCGTTCACCAACACAAAGTGAAAGAGAAGGAAGAGAGGACGACTTTCAAAATCATCTGCAGTTGAAAATATAATTACTGCGGAGTGAATTTGCGCTTCTAGAGTCAAATTTTTCCACATTGTTGTCAGCAAAACACTTTGAGTCTGACGAGATGGAGCGTGTCTACTGGAAATTTGAATTTTCAGTTGAGTTCAATCGGTACAGACTTTGACTAGACCATTTCAACACTTTGGTCTGGTTGTATTTTTAATGCTGCTGCCCGTTAGGAACACCAACCCTTTCCAAACGCTCGAGGCTTTTGTAGCCTACCAGGCTACAAAACCGATTCTAGCTCAACTCATCTTCCCGTCAACTCTAGCCAGCGTTGCAGCCCCCATGGCATGATGCTGCCACCACCATGTTCCACAAAGGGAATGATGACAACAGAGCTGTGAAGCTCATGCATCGTTTTCCTTCACTTCACTTTGTTTTGGCCGATTACAACACGTTTTCAAATAATTTCTGATTTAAAATGTGGGGGAAAAAAAGGTATGGAGACTTTTCTAGATGATACTAATTTAACGGTTTAATGGCATCTGTGTACTTTCTGCACTTGCAGTCTAGAAATATGCAGCATATCACTGGATTTGAACGCATCAGTGCGGTTTCCTCTCTTACCTGGGGCAATCTTCAGGTATGTTTTCCCATCGGCTGATGATGTAAAGAACCGATCTGTGCTCACTGGATCTGAGATCAAACAAATTACATGACAAGACTTGAAAAGGCGCATGTGTGAATTATGATTGTCGCGATTGCGCCAACATGGAGATTAAATCTCCTGTCGCTTTTAAACAATAAATGGGGGGGACGTCAACACAGATCTATGGCACCATGAACGACTCGTCTGCGCGCTCACACAGCAGGACGGAGGGAGCCGATGTGGTGGCCTGCAGCTCCGCGTCAGCCAGTTCCTCCGCAGTCTGCTGCGCCCCTCCTCCTGCTCCTGCTCCCGCTCTGCATGCCGCATCTCCGCAGGGCGCAGGCGACTCCCGGCTGCCCAAACCCAGCGCAGATGAGCTCTCATCCCCGGCTTCGGTTTTCACATGCATCGCTGCGCCGCCTCCGTGCAGGTTCGCGTCCATGGCTGCTGCGGCATGGAGGAGAAGAAGAAGAAGAAAAAAGAAGAAGAAGAAGAAAAAAAGGAAACTAACGTATGCGCACGTTTTTGTCTGCGCAGGCGTTCAACCGGAGAGAAAGTTTGGAGATCGCGGTTGTTGATGCACGCTTCGGACGCGAGTCACGCCGCCGCCGCGTTCGGCTCGAGGAACGTTCCGCTCGGCCGCGTGCGCGCCAGACCGACGCTTCCCCCCCGCCTCCTGCTCTCGCGCGCGAGGGTTTTGTTTTCCAGCAGCGAGCAGAGAAATGGCTGCGCCGTCCACCTCGGCTCGGCTGGCGGATGCGCAGGGCGGCTGCGCAGCTCGCAGCGCGGATTTGCTGCCCGGGGAAGCGTGACGGTGACGTCAGCCGGTCGCGCGGCACGTGGTCAGCGGACGCCGCGGCTTCAAAAAATAAGGTCGAACCTACAGGAAGGAGATTAGTGCCCAGCTTTGGTCCGATCCAAAGTGTGTGTCAAACTTTAACCTTATTATTTTTCTTACATAAATAAGAAAATTTATGTAAGAAATAAATTTTACAAGCATCGATATTTGGTCATTTTGATGATTATTATTTACAGCTGATAAAAAACACACATCAAATATAGGCTAACTGATATTAGCCTCTATGATCATTTTTAATTCATAAAAGGCAAGTTGGTAATAACTTAGGAGCCTGTCGACCTGCTCCACACAGATCACAGGAAAATTGAGTGGAAGGAAAAAAAGGGGGGCCATAAAATCATTAAGTCCGTAGCAAAACTACAGGTTGGTTGCCAAAGATGAGTCAAAACTGACAATAATACATGCAAACTACATATTAAGTGTACAAGCTCACATTTATCAAATTAAAGATATATAATTTTTTATTGTTCTTATGAAATAAAATGTACTATTGGCTGAATTTGGGGTTTTCAAGAGGTCTAAGCTAAGACCTAAGTACTTCTAAACATCCAACAATAATGTTTGTTTTTTTTTTTGTCAACTTGCACAAGTTTAGAAAAACACTCTGGGTTAATTTATTACAGAAACATTCACAAGGCATCCAGCTTAACTCAGTTCAGACAAGTGTAAACCTTTTGGTAGTTTTGAACATTGTATCACATTGTAAGAAAAAAAATTCCTTTAAGCATAAAACATACAAAAACATTAAAAAAGAAACCGTTATTACAAATTGCATTGGTCCTGCATTAAAAAAAGAGCTTAAGGTATTAATTGTGTTGAACAGTTGGTCATTTTTGTTTACAGTTTTCTCACAAAAGCATTGAAAATTAAGATTTCAGAGATCCTTTCAGAAGAAAAAACAGAGTTTCCCAAAGAGATAAACGGTCGATAACTCTTTTGTTTGTGCGTAGGAGGCAGTTCAGGCTTAACGCACAACTGCATCAGCTTTTGTGGGCAACTAATATTAATAATACATTCTCTCGCTTTGTGGTAACGCATTCCTCTTTACATGAAAGCCTGAAGGTCGACATGCTGACCATCAAATCCTTATCTGAGTTATCAACTGAAGTGCTTAACCAGAATTTGGATTTTTAACAAAGACAAACAGCAACATAATAAAACTTCTAAAGTGGCTGCAAATACAAACTTGACCTCAACAGGCCAGTTTGGTCAAAAATTAGACCTAACTTTCCCCTATGGATTAAAGCAGTTTTAGTGAGACTTCGGCCATGTTAAAACGTCCAAATGGCAAATTCAGTTTTAATCTGTGAGAGCTAAATCCAGGTTGGTTTTTCGCTCAGGGTGGTTTTGCGACGCTTCGTGCGATCGTAATGTCGGATAAAAGCTTTGGAGAACTTTGGCAGTTCATCCCCCCACAATGCATCGTTATCATTTCAGCAACATGCGTCCTCCGTCAATTTTCACACATTAAGGCCTGAAATATTTGCAAAGTGACATAATCTTGCTACGTTTTAACACTTTAAAATCTTGTGTTAAAAAAAATGGAGGAAATTGGTCTTTTGGTTAAATGGAGCTGTAAACATCTCAGGTTACGCCGCCATTTTATCCCCCCTCAGCGTCAGACGTTTGAGTTTCCATTGTGCATCTCTTTTAGACAGATTATAGTGACAAATAATTGTGAAATATTAGGGACCGGAAGGTCAGTGACTTGGGTTGGTGCCTATCTCTAGTGTTCATTGGCGGGGTACGTCCTGGACGGGTCGCCAGTCCATCACAGAAACACACAGGACGTACAACCACACACACACACACTCACAGTAAAGAGACCAACTGACCCAACAGGGATGTTTTTAGACGATCTGGAGAAGAACATGCATCCAGGCCGGGCTTTGAACCCACCTTCTTGGCTACCTTGTTGTTTTGTCCCCACACTAAAGTGTTAATGTTTGGTGTGCATTTCCTTGGGAAGCCTTCCTGTGCGCATTAAAATAAAGACTTTTGCATGTCTCTTCTGAGTCTACTCTAAGACTCTCGTGATGAAGATAAGCACAGAGCATCGTACTGAGAGTCAGCTCTACTTCAGTTCATATCTAAGCACGTTTTTCAAAGAGTGTGCCAAACATTCAGCAGTATTTTAACATTTTCTTTCATTAATTAAACAGAATAGTTTTTTTAAAAATTGATCCTGGTTAGATAAAGAGTAATCCCATTATTAATCAGCATAGCATCTCAATGTTATTTATGAATAGCCAGTGTCTGTAAGTGGTGGTCCGTCAGTCTGTGGTCTAGTCCCGGATGTCGAAGGCCTTCTTGAATTCTCTGTCAAATAGCTGCTTCAGGTGCTGGCCCATGTCCAGGTATTCTGGATTGTTCTGGAAAAGAGATTCCAGAGGTTGTCAGTTCACCAAAAGGAAGAGGAAGGCCCAGTACACAATATGAGCGATGAAGACGAAAAATGCATACTGCGTTTTTTAAAAATGAAACATTATAGCATCTTTGGATTAAAATTTGGATTAATGAATTTAGAAGGGGTATTTGCTTTTTTGTTCTCAATCGAACATGTTCGGTCCTGATCAGCTTGTCGGATTTGTTTACATTGTAACATCAAACGCCTGAAACGGACAGAGAGTCGTTAACAGTTCGATCAGCTGTTGTGCCAACATTTTCCCCATCTGCCAATCTGATAATTGGTGTCAGAGGGTCGGCTCCGGACGCCGAGACCGGCTGAAGGCTGACGGAACAAAATCCGGACTGCAGGCGTTCTGCCTCTTCTGCTCAGGTGGTTTTCTGAAATTAATCTGTCCAGAAGGTGTGGGAACTCCAATTCCTCCTTTCTTTTATATCACCCACCCAAATTGTCCTCGTCGAAAAAATGTCAGGTACTGAAAGCCTGCACTTTAGACAGTGAAACACTTTTCATTAACTTGAAAGTATTTCACTTTGAAGTTAAGATCAGACTTAAACTGTTTTAAATGTTCCATCTCTTTCAGCCTTTTCTAGCAACAGAATGAAACTTGTCTGCTTTTCCTATTTTCTTGTCTTCCTTTTTACCCAAATTATTGGAGAACAAATCTTCGCTTTGCATGCGCCTGGCTGAACAATGTTAATTTATTTATTTTTTTTGATTATTGCATTTTTTTAAGGAAAAAAAAGATTTTATAGTTGGGGTTTAGGTATTCGTCTTCCAATCTTCCGAAAATATGTAACCGTCAAGCAATATTTTCAAATTTCCTGTCAACTTTGAACAATTTTTTAACACAAAAACATGGCGGCCGGCTGGATCGATGACTGCTCAACCACCGGGCTTAGCAAGTTTTCTGGGGGAAACCTTGTATTCCTATAAAAATTATTTATTTATTAAGATAAAGGCAAAATCTTTAATGCATTCAATACGGCTTGAAAAAGTCAGAGATCACGAACTTGACATTGAGCGGTTCTGTGTACGAAAGCGCTAGATGCCTCCAGCGTTTTCTTACCCGGTTGTAAGTGGCAGAGTTGGTGAAAACGAGCTGAACGTCTGACACAAACTCGCCAACAGTCCCGTATTCGTTCCTCTGAAGTTTGCCTGCGATCTTATCCAGCCACATCGGAGTCTTAATGACGCTGCAGTAATTTTTCAGCTGTGGGTGTCGAGCACAAATTGTGTTTGCAGTCATTTTACGACGACAGAATATGATAATCGGTGCTGCGATTTCAGCAGGAGCAGACAAAGTTCCTGCACTTTGAATCGTTTTAAGTTTTGTTTTGCGGACATAGAAAGACGCGAGAAGTCACTTACATACTGGCTCGGGTTGGTGGCAAATATCTGCTCCTCATCAGCGCTGCACAGGTGGAGGAGGAGATACTGGCATTCCTGTCCAGGGTGAGACAGGAGAGATGAGTTGCAGCAGGACGTCTGAGCTTTCTATATGAACGGACTTTCAGACTGCAGCAGAGAAAAAGATGCTCACCAGCCGGTGTTGAGATATTTGACGGGACATGACGGCTTCGGTTCTCTGCTCGTCGGGGTAGCGGCATTCATAGGTGAGTTTAAAGACGCAGAATGTGCAAAGCCACTGGTTGTCGTCCCTGAAAAAAAAATATATGTAACAAAACTAACTGTGAGGGGACAGAAAATAAATTTGCTCAATGGAAACACGGCCATTTGGAAAAAGCTTGTTGGAAACGCTTCTTGCATGAGGATGACGTCGTTTTTTTCAGTCACTTCGAAATCGGTGCATTTCAGAAAAGTGCAACGGAAACGGTTTTCACAAACTTGTCTGGAAGTAATATATTTATTACGGCAATAAGGAATTGAATTGAATTTCAGCTGAAGTCAGTTTTGAAATGCAAAAAGCCAATGTAACTAATAACTGGAACAAAACCTCAAAGTGTGATGTAGTAAACATAAAATAAGGATCATCCTCTAACTGTAAATCAACGTACAACACAAAATTTATTTCGATCTGTTCTATAAGGGAATAAAATCTAAATATAGAACCACAAATGTTTTTTTTTCCCCCTTACATGTCCAGATATGGAAAATGTTACAATCAAATGTACTTCTCAAAACTCCCAATAAACCCAACAGACCACATAAATGAAGTCTTGTCTTGTCAGACAAATTTCGAAGGCGTTTTCTCTTACTCTACTATCGTGTCCTCTATATGAGGCAGATGGCAGTTCTGGTGAAATGATCTCGGACATTTATCGCACTCCACCAAGTCCTCCTCTCCGCCACTTTTACAGATGAAACACTCGTCGTCATTTTTGTCATCGTCCTGTAAAGTCAGTCGGTCCGTTAATTTCGAAACTGAATTCAATTTCGTGATTTCACAGCTTTTTAAATGCGAAACTAAACAAGCAACACATTTACCAGGTCTCCGGGTTTTGGTTTGCAGCGTGGGCATTTGCATAGCAGCGAATGGATCATCAAGACCTTTGCCTGAAAGAGAAAAGTAGACAAACACTGAGTCTTTTGTTTTTACGATTTAGGGGTTCTGATTTAGAAATCGCACATTTTCCTCAGGTTGTCGCCCAGACTTACAATCAGTCTCATCTTAGAACAGTTTCATGAAACGTCACTCAAATTGTGGCAAACCCGACTTGATTCTGCCTCCTTCCCGGCTTCACAACACACAATTAAAACGTCTAAATGAAAGCGTCAATATTTTGAGGATTTTAAAATAAAAGTGATAATAAAAAATCCACATTGTCTTTCTCAACGCCAGTAGAACTGGTTCAGATTGTTGGTTCATTAATGCAACCATGGGATTTGACAGAGGAGGCATCGCTGACAGAGAGATGATTTTATTCTCTCACCATGTAGTAAATCAGCTCTTCTCACCTTTTAGCTAAACGTGTACTGAGTCTTGGTGTATCTTTCTTTGTCCCCATCTCTATCCAGCCTGTCTCCGATACGCTGTCTGAGTTTGGTTGGCTTAGTCATGGCTGTGTCCTAATAAAAGTTAATCTAGGTCGTCACAGACTGCAGCAGATCCGGAAACACCTCAACTCCTGACGCTCACCGGTCCGCGATTTAGACGTCCTCGCCACAGGTTTGAAAACATTTAACTGTTTCTTGTGTGCAGGAGTCAAATGTCGGGACGGCTCATAACGGTCCCGACATGAGCCGTCCCGACAGATTAGAGTTTAAACTCACAACCAGAAACAAAATTTCTCTGATCTCCTTAAAGTCAAAGTTTAATTTTTCCAACAGCTGAAATGACACCATGAAATAAGCACTAGCAGAGAGTACCAAGGACAAAAAGTTCATTTAGATTCCAGCTGTAATAATCTAATCTACATCATGATGTTGCGTTTCTGATGCTGAGTCATGTCTTACCTCCAGGAGAACGCTGAGGGGTTCCCCTTCGTACAGGATGTCCTTCCTCCAGGAGGCGTCTCTCTGGTTCAGTGCTGTGATCACAAACTCCTCCGGACTCATCCAGCTCAACTCAGTGCGAATACTTTTCCCACATTTCCCTAGTGGGGGATGGAAGGGGATAAAAGACAACAGATACGTTTCATAAGTCAGCGCACGCCGTATGCCAGCAGAATTGTTTTAACACTTATTATTCGTCGCCTGAGTCGTGGTCACCTGATGCGAACCGACGTTTGTGTAAAGTCCCATTTAAGGCTCCACACGTCACTTTGAACACGCTCTTGTAATGATCCGGGCTCACTCGCGTCGGCTCGCCTCGCTCTTCCGTCTCTTCTCCTGTGTGAGACCAAAGTCGTGCAAATGATATTCATCACGTCGGCGCCTCCACCGCTGTTATGTCAGCGTTGTTGCCTGTTGGTGATGTGTGGGAACCGTCACCTGAGGCTTCCTCTGGTAAAGGTTGTGCTTCCTCTTCATCCTCGCTGTCGTCTTCATCTGATAGTAAAAAAAAAAAAGAAGGCTTTCAGTTAAAAAAGCAGAAATTGGTAATGATGAATCTGGGTGGGTTCTGAAATGACGTTACCTGTGTTTGAATGACTGGCATCAAACAGGACTTTCCTGGCCTGGCGATTAAAGTGAGTGAGTCAAAGATAATGCAGATTTCTTTCTTTGTTGTTGTTTTGCTTTTACCTTTCTGATTCTTCTGTTGTAGACCGCTGCCTTCAGGTGCCCGTCCTTTCGAAGGAACAACTGCATGTGAGTGAACGGACGTAACGGACCACAAACGATTACACAGTTCCAAAACGGCGTTTCGGCAAACCTTGATAAGTTTTCCCAGTGGGGTGTCCTTGCATCGGATGCTCAATTTCCAGTTCTTGGCGCTTCCTTTCCCCGCAAACTTCTCAAATTCAGATGGCGTGAACAGCTGTTTGTCCACCTGGATGCACTTTTCACCTGAAAACAAAACGACTCGATTCTTACGCGTGAATGACTCCTGGGAGACTAAAAGGCTAATGAACGCACTCTGACCTTTAGCCAGCTTGTCTCGTATGAGCGTCCCCTCCACCTCGCCACAGGTCACAGGCAGCTGGGTCTTATAGAGCGGCCAGGTCCAGATCTCACCCGCCTCCCCCTTCCTTGGAGACGCTGAGGAAAAAAAAGATAGTGGACTGGGATTTTTTATCTTCAAACTGGGACTTTCACGGACTATAAAAAAAAACATTCGACATGTAAAATCAGAGTCACAAAAATACGCCTCGCATCTGTAATTAACGATGAATTACAAAAGCAATAGATCATTTCCACTAAAAAAATGTTTTATTACTGCCTCCCGTTAGTCAGAATAATCACACCAGTTTGGAAAGAGTTCACTTTAAACATGGCTGCCACAAAAAAAGACACCTGTTTATTTGCACTGCTGACCCTTTGCGGCTTATTCAAAACTACTTTGCAATCTGGAAGTCTGGAGTTTGATTTTGATATTTTCAAAGTCTTTATACGTGTGGAAAAAGAAAAGAAGAGTACGGAAATCAACTTTGTTCCCTCGTAATTCACGCTGTTGTTGAATCGAATCGAGTTCGAGCCGCCTTGTGTCCTTCCTCCGGTTTTGAAATGGATTTCTGATCCACATCAATATGCTGACATCCTTTTAAATTATGCCAGGAAGAGCTGCACTTAGCTCGGCGCCTCACACCTAAAATCTTCTCAAAACGGACAATAAAACAGGGAACCTACAGAGATTAAACAGCGAATCCTGGCACCGATGCACGCACACGAACAAACGTGAACTGCCAGAGAGGTGACTTACAGAAATGTATTTTCTTGGCCTTTTTCTTCTGACTTGGAGTCTGTTTTGCTGACAAGCCCGGCTGCTCATCGTCACATTCGCTGCTCCCGCTTCTGAGCTTCCTCTTCCCTTTGGCGGTCTTTTTCGTTTCCTTCTCCTCGCCGTCGGAAACCTTCGAGCTTCCCCTTTCGTCGCTCTCTTCGCTTTCCCTCCTTTCGGGCAGTTTTGGGTCAAAGTGGAAAGAGCCTTAAAGCAGAGAATTTACAAACAACTTAGGAGCTGAATTGATGAGCGAAAGACCCAACGTGATAACCATGTGCTATTTAAAACATTTTTAGATATTACTTTACATTCTTTTAGTTTGCCAAGGGCCAATGAAACAGTGGAGCTGTTTACCGTCCATGAGGCTGTTGTGCAGCAGCTTCAGGATGGGATACTGGCTCATGATGACGTCCTTGAAGACACATTTCCAGAACAGCGGGATGTGCTCCGAGTTCTCTTTCTCAATCCAGTCTAGGAGTTCGTAAACAGCTCTTCTCATTTTATCTTTACTTCTCACCCGGATCGTCGTCTGAACACACACCAAGAGACATTGAGAGAAACCAGAAATCAATCGTATGCAAAATGGCAAAAAAATAAATAAAAATCAGGGTCGCTGTTTGTCAGTTCGGGTTTATATAAATATGGATTTGTTCAGCATTTCAAGTACTTAAGTTATCAGACAGCTGTTTCTCTGATGAAACTACAAGATGAATTATTTCAATTGAAATACAGGAAACTTAGGATGAAACTTAAGTGACATTTTAAAAGTTGCGCACAGGGATAAGCAGATTTTAAATTATATATATTTTTAATTTATTTGTACTTTTTTTTTTTTTTTTTTACTAATTTGTAAGTATCTTGTCCCTTCCCTTTGGTTTGCCATGGGTTACGCCGGATGTCCTTCCCCAGGTCATCCCGGGGAGGGAGCGGGCTTCGAACCTGTGACCCTCCGAGCCGCGACCGACCTGCTCTGTCGCCCCGTAAACTACCAACAAACCTCACTTTGTTTGTTGGTATGTACAATGAACATAAGCAGCTGAAAGAAGCAACTATTCATCAATTAGAGGAGAGAAAGCGAACCGTGGTATTCAGATTGTTTACTCGATCAGCTTATTATAATAAAATATCCCACGAAACCCGAAACCGTGTTGACTTCCCGCGCGCGCAAACACAGGATTAGGTCTCGAACCTGTGGGTGTGTCCCTCCGCGTCACCGCCGCCAGACGCAGCGCGTGAAAAAAAAAAAAAAAACTTTACCTTGTACTTGTCTTCCGGTATCAGGTTGTGGTCCCTGAGCTGGTTCAGGAAGACTTGCGGGTTTTCCATGCAGGACATTTCTGTTTTACGACAGTGGAAAAAGGTGAGCAGCTCGTCGTGCTCCAGGAAGTCCAGCGGGTCCATCACTGGTCAGCGAGCAGGCCCTGCAGCGAACCGAGCTTATTTACGGCTAAATGCAATGAACTCCCCACGCCTGCTGCTGCTGCTGCACAGCTTGAACGACCTGAAGAGAAACACTTTTTCTTCTTCTCCTCCTTCTTCTTCTTCTTCTTGGAAATATGTGAGAAATGTCCGGAGTGGGGACGACCGGAAGCTCTTTTGAATGTTCGTGGCGGGCCGTCCCACTGCAGCCTCCCTGTTCCTCCTCCAGTGACGTGTCGAAAATGAAAGTAGTTTCGGGTTGCCTTGGCAACACTTGGCGCGACCACATCAAAGGAAAAGATGTAACCCATAACAACACAGTAACCAAAGGGAGCGAGATTCATTTGGAAAAGATAAATAAAAACTACTCGTAGAATTAATAAATTCGTTCATAAAGCGAGCAAAATGTGAAATTAAGTTTTTTTCCCTCTCCTTTAACAAATGGACAAGTAAGAATAAAACCGGGTTTTAAATGTAAAGTGTAAATGTCTGCTTGATTTCACGAACAGTGCAGCGAATGGAAAAAAAAAAAACTTTCTGCTTCGCGTGGCGATGACGTCACAAGAGGTACCCTGCGATATTCCACAGCACGCTTCGAGTTCATCATTTTAAAGCAAAAGTGATTCTCATCCTGTTAGAATTGGCTTGTTTGTGACCAATCGGTCTAGATTATTTCAGCCAGTGATGTTTCGCTAGCCGCTTAGCAAAAATCAGCTAATTTTTCAGGAAGAAAAAAAAACAATAGGACATGACTATGACGCCTCAGGTGAGGTCACCAGATCCATGTATAGGTTGGTTTGTTTTCTGAAATATTAACATCCAACAAGATGGCAAAACAAATTAAAAAACTGTTTGTGACGTGCTAATTTACAGGAGCCAAACTATACAATCATATTTAGTGACCTAGGTTTATTTACAGAAACATCTTGCAAGTATGTTTATTTACTAAGATGTTAAAAGCTGTGTGGACGTTTGAAAAATGTTTCAAACGTGTTGTTGAATTTCTAGCATGAAGAAGAAAAAGAAGAAAAAAAGGTTCAACCAGTAATATTAGGATGTACTGAAAGTTGCTGGTGGCATAACAGGATTGTGAACAAATGAGGTTAAAATGACTAATAATTGGAATTCTTGTTCATTTGTTAAATGATTATTTATGAATAATTAATGAAACGATGACTCAACTAAAAACATTTGTTTAACAAATGTATAAATTTATTTATTTTATGAATAAATTAATTATAAGGACGCTGCTGTCAGAGCATTTGAAACGCTATCTGCTAAATTACAAAACAGGGGCGAAAATATGGGATACACATGCCTAATATGGAAAATATATAATTTATTGTCATGGATTTTCCCCGAGCTGCTGACCGTCGCGTTTGTCCAAATCGTCGTAAACGACATCCTCGTTCCCGTCCTGGCAAGTCTGAACGGCCGCCAAAACGGTTGCGAGGCGTCGATCCAAAGCAGCCAGGTGTGGCTCGGAGAGGAGGGGGGCCACGGCTGAGAGAGGATCCTGGGCCAACGACTCCCGCATGACGTCACTCAGCCGAAAGTCAGGACGGGACAAGAGCCTCAGGCGGAGGAGGGTGGAGCGACGGATTCTACGGAAAAGGAGCGGAGGCTGGAGAGGAACTGACTCTGAAGTGCTGAGCTTTTCAGTGACATGCAGTGTTGTGAAAACTGTTGTTTTTTGCTGCTGCTTTTATCACACTTGGACGATTCAGAACGACAAAACTCTTGGCGTCAAACTGAACTTGATCAAATACAAAGCGATGATTTCGATTAGTTTCGTTTCGTAATGCTGCGTTTTGCGCACACCTTCCAAAAAGTTACCCTACTTCCTGCTGTCAGACGGGTTCTAGTGAAGTAACTTTTTTTTATATGGTTTTGAATAGTATAGCTGTTACAAAAAGATCAGACATTGTTAACTTAATGTTTTCCAAATACATTTCACAGCAAGGCAGATTTTGTTCTTCAATTTTCCTCTTCTTTTTACATTTTTGAATTGAATTTACCTGCAACATTGCACCAAAGGAGCTAAAACAGACGGCTCGTCCTGAGAATGTCGCCCAAATCTAAAGAATTGTCAAAAAACTGCTTTTAGAGACAACACAGATACATTGATCACCAGTAAGAAGCAATAGTGGCGATCATTTTAAATGAAGACAGTCATCTTGAAGGCGATACTCACGCCCGGCCGTGGTCCAGGTGAAGGAGGAAAGTCTCGTTGCCAAACTCCTCAAACGTCTCGTAGTGATGCCGGTCCATGTTGCCTGGTAAAGAGAATAACCAGTAACAATAACGCTTCGTTTTCCCTCTGTCGACGGCTGGGAAGCGTTTTCCACGTTTTGGCGTCGACGTCGTGAACTGACTCATGAGGAAGTCCAGCACAGCCATGTCGATGAGATCCACCAGTCTGCTGCCGCGGTTGTAAGGAGGCGTCTTCTTCACCGTGTCACAGTAAGCGGCGTCCTTTTCCCACCTGGGGACAGAAAGCAAACGGTAACTAACACATTTGTGCAATTCACACAAGACCATAAATACCGGCAACAGCTGCAATTTGCTGCTAGCATTATTCTGCACAAATAAAGTTACAGATTTTATTTCCAGTCCTTCACTTATTGGTGTTAGTTTAATAATAAAAAACTAACCATAAATTTTTTATAAGAACCACCATCTTGCGGCACATAGATGCATCTCTGCTCTAACACCACTGAATCAAATGAACAACTTGCTAAATAAAAGGCATTTTGAAAACCTAATAGCATACATAGAACTGGACAGAAATGCAGAACTGCATCTTGCAGTTTTCTCTCCCACCACTGGAGGTCAGTGTAAACTCATGGTACTTTAGACGATCCTGGCGCAGATGACACGATAGTAACGGTAATGTTCCTGCCATACACCTTTTTCCATGAGCAATGGTGTGTATTTGCACATGCAAAAAACAAATTTAACAACTTTAAAGGGTATAAGGGGTATAAGATAATCTGCAAAATAACAGCTGGAGTAAACCAAGAAGTGAGGTGTGTCAGCAGCAGGTTATCTGACTGATATTCCTTACAAAAATATTCATCCCCCTTGAACTTCTGCACGTTTTGTCATATTCAAACCACAAGCCTCAATGTATTTCATTAGGAGTTTATCTAGTAATAGTGCAAAATGGTGAAATAGAAACACATGTGTTTTTCTTGTGTCTCTTCAGAGACACAACCCAACAGTCGTAATTGAATTACAATCCAACCTCGTTCTAAAATGTATTGAGTCAGGAGCCAAATGGACTATACGAAAGCCATCCTGTTTAGAGTCAAAATTTGACAACAAACACTTTTATTCTTCGCTCATAAGAGTCTACCTACTTTGCCAGCTTTGTGCGGCTGTAGGACCGTCTCCACGGTGACCTCCAAGACCTGCGGGGAGCCAGGCTGAGGTCGGGCAGCATGGTAGCGAGGGACACCTCCAACGCGTGAGGCTGACCGCACACCGGGTGCTCCGTCGAGCAGTAGTACTCGCACCGACCGTAGAAACACACGTTCCCGGCTGACGCGAGTGGACAAGACGCAGCGATGTCAGGAAGGAAGCGGACCGCGGCTCCACGAAGGGGCAGCACACATCGGACGTCTGCACTCCAGCAGATCCGAAGGGGTGGCGCGTGCGTTGCCATACGCACCTGGGGAGGTGAAGAAGGTCCTGGAGAGCCTCTCGTCAGTGGTAACGTCTCTGATCTCTGTGGTGACGTTGATGAGTCGACCGACCACCGGGGGGATTCTGTTAAAGCCCAGCACTCTGTGACGTTAAAGGGAAAGTATTACAAGCTGGCGCAAAACAAATCCCTTACTAAAGGAAATTGTGTAGTTTGTTTTTCTGAAGCAGAGTTATATTTAACACTAAAGCAGCTACAGTCTGTGGCAGTGAGCTCTCACTCACGGGCGTACCGTGGCGGGTTTGTAGGCAAGCTGCATAGCCTACTTTCTTCCAGTCATTTCATCGGCTTCTGCTTAGATCTCATCGCAGGTCTGTTCGCTTTCAGATCTCTGTTCTCACTTGCAAAACTGAATCACGTTCTTGCTCATTCAGCTTACCGTCTTCAGGTAATGTTACTCATTTTCCAAACCAGAGGCTAACCAGCCAGCTGACACTGACACAAAGCCTTGTTTGTCGCAGCACTTGTGAACTATTTTCTGACTCGTATCACTCTGCTATACTTATGTTTGAACTGCATGTTCTCCAGCCTTCTCCATTTTGAAACCGACCACTGTGCCGCGTCATTTTCACCCCCAGGGAAACAGGAAGTTGTGTATTACTAGCTAAAAGCTCCTAAGTGCATAAACGAACTCAAAGAGTGCTTCAGCTGCCTTCATATAGTAGGAAATTCTAGAGCTGCCAATGATTGGACTGAAAACAAGACTCCCTTGTTTTCATTTAGTGGCAACAAATGCAGTGAGGGCTCCGACTGAGACCTTTCGTTCAGTGACGGTGGGCCTAATCATCCGTACCTGTCGAGATGGAAGGCGGCGATCTCTGCGTTGTGTCGCTCAAAGTCGGAGAAATAAAACAGGTTCACATCCGTCTCAGCATCCCTGGATTGTCTGCGGGTGACAAAAAAAAAAACACACAAAAGTATGTTGGTGTGTTTTTTTGTTTGTTTGTTGTTGTTTTTTTCAAATAAAAACGGCCTCAGAGTTTCCAGTCAGAACATCGTGTCTTACCTCATGGGTTTGAGCAGAGCCTGGCCGTAGTTTGGGAAAGACACAAGCAGCTTCAGCTGGGTGCCTCCTTTCTTTTGAACTAAAAATAAGCATCAGACGGATACAGTGGAGTATAAGTGATCGAGTACAGAGGCTGTTGTCTTTCGTCTCTGCTTTCGTGCCACAGCGAGACGCATGCTGCGCACGCTAAAGACGGGATGTGTGTTGAGTGAAGAGCAGCATGGATTGTGATGTGTCTGCTTCCCCACATGGTGGCATATTACATAACGGAGCTGCTGCTCAGCCATCGATTTTCACACTGCAGACAGACCTGGATAAACCGATGAAGCCGATCCAGTGAGTAAATTCATGAAGTAGGATTTAACAGCGCATGTTATTGACGTGGAACCTTTTAGTTGTTTCTTTTTCTACTTTTTTTTTCCCACTTATTTTTGTCATTTGTAGGTGTTTTAATTCCCACCGACCCAATCAGCTTCCTCCAAGCTTCAGAAAATGCGCCCCTGGGTATAAATGCAATTCAAACGCGTCACCTTTTTGTAATCAGAAGTAAAATATAAGCTTTGCAACCTCACAAACAAAAAGTTACGGTGATGAAGTGCTGTTTTTCTCTGCACCGTCTGCTTGTTTGGATTTAATAATGCATTACAGTCTCTGTCAGAGGCTGCAGTCGGGTCTTCACTGACCTCCCAGAACTCAATTACAGGCCGGCTCGCCTCCTCGCTGTTTGCTTTTTAACCCTCTTCTCAGCCGAGACCCTCCTGGGCTTGTTCTGGTGCATTTGATTTATTTCCCTCTGTCTCATGCGTTGTTATGTGTGAATGTGTGGACACGGTCCTGCAGCTCTCACCTGTCGCCGTGTTTACTCACCGGCCCCCAGGATGCGCTGCGTTGCCAGATAATGAGTCAGCTGGGCCAGGTTGAGGTCTTTCCTGTCGTACAGCTCCCAGCGAGAGATGCCCAGGTGGAACCTCAGCCAGGGAGGGTGGGTCTCCTCGTCTCTGGTCCAGGTGACTTTATCATAGCCTTCCTCTTCACTGGCGCTTTGCCTGCAGATAAAGAAGGTCCAGTGTACGTACAGTAGCCTGTAACAGAGTTGGTCAAGAAAAGCAGGCGAAAATACAACAGCGGAAGGAACTTAACAAAAGACACGGTCACATTAACACTTTATGTTTATGTTTGTCAAATTACTTGTCTTTTTAAATGTCTGTAATAGTTCCAATTGTTGGTTTAAAAAAAACACTCAATGGGCGGGCAATCCCTAGAGTGTCTGGATTTCATTTGGTCCATAAAAATGAAGACCTTTAAGATTTTTTTATTTGACCAAAAGAAAATATATAAACTGTCCATGTTTGACATGTTGCAGTTTTAATTTGCACACTGCTGCGCTTAAGCTGAAGACTTTTCTTGTAGCGTCTCCAACTCCAGGAGCAAATTTTGTTGCATTTCTGAACGGAAACTACTCACAAGGTTTCCCACTCACAGGAGATTTTGTCACTGCCAATATTTTAATAAGAAATGTGAAAAATCCTACAACAAGATATAAATCACCCGTCAGGCTCTGATGTGAGCTCGATGTGGGATTTTGTGACAGAAAGCAAAAATCATTAGATTAAAAAAAAAAAAAAAACTTAAAATTGTAAGAATTTGCCCAAAGACTCCTAATAATGAATATGTTTTTTAACTTGTTCCAATTTGAGGTCATGAAATCATTTGGAAAAGTCATAGCTTTAAGGAGCTTAATGATGGTGATGTTGGTCGTTCTCCCTAAGAAACACTTAAGAAGTCAATTTTTCTGTCCATAAAACATGATTTTCATTGGCCTAGACTAGAGGAACTTGTTATGTCTAATTTAATTCTCTCAGAAATAAAAGGCCCGGTATGAAGCCGCTTGACCTTTTAGCCTGCTGATTTCAGGTTTGTGTTCTTCTGATTACTCGTCCCTACCAGTCGCTGTCGCTAGTGTCGGAGTCCCGATTCGCCTTTTCTTCCTTTTCGACGTCCTCTGCCTCTGCGTCCGTTTTCAGCCTCAGCAGCCAATCGTCTTCCTGCAGTTTCGGGCGTGGCAGGTTGTATAAAGGATGCCGGAACAGCTCCTGCAGCTTGGAGCGGCCGCTCTCCGTCTGCCTCGCTTTTCCCATTAGTTTCTTTGCCTTCTCCGGGTCCTCGCCGAACGAGTCGTTCCCTCCATGGTCCAACGTGGCGCCGACGCCGGGCTCGTGACAACCCCCGCGTCGGCGGCTGTCGGCTTGTTTATTCGAGGCAGCAGAAGAAGAGGAGGAGGAGGCGTGTGAGACTGGGTCTATCCTCGGAACGGCGGACGAGGAGGAAGTGGGAAGGACGCAGGCGGACTGGAGGACGGAGAGGCAAAACAGGGCCAGGAGAAGGTGGAGAGTCAGGGACACACACGCCAGGCCCAGGTAGATGGAGCGAGTGGACCGCCTGAGGTTCAGACGCACCATGCTGAGAGCCAGGAAGGAAGCAAACAGAGCAGGAAGTCCTAGTGAGAAGCCAGTCAAAGTTAAGAATCTAATTTAAGATTAAAACACGATTCAGTTTTATTTGCATCAAAGTTTAACTGATGGAAATACAGTTTCATAAAGAAAAAAAAAACAGATATGTTCCGTTTCTACTTATTTGTTGCGCTTAAATGGTTCAGATAGCCAAAAGAAAATGCGTTTGCTTCTGAACGACGACTTCATTCAGTAAGAAATAAAAAAGCTGCCCCAATTCTACGTCTAAAATTACATCTTCCCCCGTTTTCCCGGGATAACATTCTACAAAAACCACGACCGGGACTTGACTACTGCCAACGAAGTCAGCTGAATTCAACGTGTTGGACCAGATAAAACAGGCAAAAAGATTTCAAAAAGCGTCACATTGTGCAGCGATCTGCAGGAACAGTCGAGATTTCAGGCAAACACCGAGACGGCCGGATTTGTGGCTGAGCCAACTGCCGCGATCAAAACAAGCATCTCTGAATTTTGCACCTTGAAACACTTTGGCAATATGTATGAAAGCGGCCATGTTGGATTTTGAGGTTGGAGTTGGTGAGAAACTTCAGATTCCAGAACTGAGAAGTTTGACGCCGAGGGACGTTTCTGCTAAACCCTCTACAGACGTTGACTTTTATCTTCACAAGCAGAAACTGGTGAAATCATTGAACCATATTCTCTAATTACTTAAATCACAGGACACAGAAAAACCTACAAAGCCAACATGATGTCAGGCTTTTGATTAAAAGTATTTATTTTGTCCTGTTTGGTACATTTCAGGTAGCGCTTGTTCAAAAAAAAAAAAAAAAGTTTGCCAGCTTCCAAACAGCATCTCAAAGTTTTAGTGTCAGATGAGCAGCGATTACTCAACACAGTAAAGTGGATTATTGTGACATATTTTGTCCTGCCAGTCGATTCCTTGTCCTCCTGCAATATGTTGTCTGAGGACAGAGCCGAAGCACAGCAGACAGGCGCGGCGACCTCTGCTTTTTTTGTTTTTTTTTTTGCATCCACACTTCCATCCATATTCATATACGTCATACAGAAAAGGTCATTTGCATCCAATCAAACAGAGAAAAGTTTATGAGGAAAATCAATGCATTATTTATCTAGCCTTCAAAATCTGCTGCAAGACGCCGTAGAGAGGAATAATAAAAATAAAAAAAAAACAGAAACCATAACTTACGTTTCTTTCCCTTCGAGTCCACCTCTCTCCCCGACTCCTCTCCTCTTCATTCCCCCGGCAGGACAGAGATGCACTTTGACCCCCGCGCCACACCAGGAAGGCAGATTGTTTGTTTTCCCCTGGTGTGGCCACTGCGGAGCCAACGGTCCAGAGGAGAACGGCGGGTCGCGGTGACTCGTGTCGGCGTGACCCACAGCGGGGTGGAAAGCAAGCGCAAGAAAAACAAAAAAAAACACGCCGCCAAACGCCCGCGTCGCACGGGTCCGGTCAATGCAGGTCAGCAAATATGTGCAGGAGGAGGTTGACACTGTATCGTGTTATCAGTCTGTAATCACTAACCCTCTCATTTTGTCAAATCATCACGTTTTGACATGAAATGTGTGGGTTTTATATTAAATATCGTGCTTTCAAGCACAATAATGGCACATTTTCAGCTAGAAAACATAAAAGTTCAGATCAAAAAGCTTTACTTTTATTGTTCATTTCTTTCTAAAGGTTGCACTAATTTTTCTTTTTTTTTTTTCAGAAAAAAAACAAACACTGATTCCTGTCAATGTGGTGACAGGAATCAGGTTGAACCGCGATTTACAAAATGCAGAAGAACACCAGGCAGGATTTCCAAACCCAAAGCCATAAATGCTCTTCGAGATGGGACACCATTCTGTTACTATGCTGTTGCTTCAAATTCCTCTTTTCATCTTTTTTCTTTTTTTCCATCTCGCCATCTCCTCCTAAATGCAAACAGCTTCATTATGCAAAAAGCCTTGAAACCTGGATGAAAACGAAGAAGAAGTGGCTCGTATTCACCTGTGAGGGATTTGCAGCTGCACACAAACAGACGCGCACACAGGCTACTGAATTAATATTCCAAAGAAGCTCAGATTACATCAAATATTCATACCCCGAACACAGTCTCCCTCCATCATATTTTTTTCTTTTTTTTAAGCGACAGCTCCTTTTTAACGAACCACCGGTTAAATCTCCAGCTGCTACTTCAAGGCATGTTTTCCCTGGACCTTCACCGTTTTGTTTTGGTTCTTTTTTTCTGCCGATCAAAATAATATTTAATAGTTTGTTGCTAATTAAATTGTTTGGATTTTGCACATCATGTTTTGGGGGGGGGTTATTTATGTGTTACAGCAGATCCTAGTGGATTTCATCAATGTTTCTGAAGCTTTCATGAACAAGTATAGTGGGTAACATACGCAGCCGTCTTTCAAACATCGTAAGTGACAAAGAGAACAATTAATTTCAGAAAATGCTCCAAATAAACATCAAGCCTTGTAAATCCATTCCAAGTAAAGCAGGATTATTGGTCACGTTTTTGCTCCGCTAAATGAGAAAAGGTTATTGCGTCTCTGGGTCAGAGCAGTTTCATGTGAAAGTTCATGCAAACTTTGAGCTAAAAATATTTCACAAATCGGCGACATCCTGTGTCAATGTTAAACGCCGCTTTCTTAAAGAGTCACCATATATGAAATGCATCGTCCTGTACTTGTTTCTGCTGTTGAATTATCATTAGGACGACACGCCTATGCTTACAAGTGAAAGAATATTGAAGGGTTACATAAGGGTTGGAGTTAGTTTGTCTGACGCAGCTAGGTCTGACACGCTTCTTCCCTTTCTGCAGAAAGACGAGTTTTTGTGTCCTTGTGATTCTTTCAGAGTTTATTTGAATACTAAACCTAACAGTTACTTTCAGGTATCATTAAACTGCTGCACTGACCAAATAGGAGTAAAAATAAATTTGACATCATGACATGGCTCCTCCATTAACCCTTTAGTCACGTTTTTAGATGTAGCATCGATAACAAGCTCAGCAGACCCAGGTGATAGCTAATAGCTGCGGGCTAGTCTGAAGGAGTGGAGTGAGGGAGTCACGGAGGAGGGCCGCTCTATGAGGTGGAAGCTTGGAAATGTGGAAAATGCATCTCCGTGTCATTTTGCTCAACAATTGCCACGGGAAATGAAACGATTTCTCTAAAACGAGTGAAAGAATCAAAGCAGCACTCCAGCATGATGTACACCTTAAAAAAAAATTACATAATAGTGCCCCTTTAAACAATAAGGTTGCACCAAAACATTTTCTCCCTCCACAGCCGCCGTGATCGTCCAAAACGAGGATGCGGCGGGTTCATTTTGTGAAAGCACAGATCTGATTGCAGGTTGTCAGTGAACCACATCGCAAAGTGGCGCCTCTTTCGCCTCATCACATCCCCTCTCCCATTCTCACGGCCTTCTTCCTATTCTCCCCACGCAGGAAGCGTTCGCCGAACGCTCCCATTCAAACGGCGAAAGCGTCCTTCAAAAGCTTTGAAGCCCGGTCTCCCTCTCAGCAGTCGTGGCTGAATGTGGGTTGCTTGGAAACGACCCAGAATTTGAGGCCTAATTGGGCCGCGCCTGCTCCCCTGTCCGACAGGCGGCAACTTTGTTGTGCAAAACCCAGGATAAGCAGACAAAGTGAATGTGAGATCACATCTGGCTCTCCGGAGGGAGACGGCGAGGGCTGACCGACGCCAGACAAAGAGAGCTTTGTGGATTTGTCGTTAGTTACACTGGCTAGTTACCGGTTGTTTATGAGGTCGTCTGGTTTTGTTAGGAAAATTTATGTTAATATTTGTAAGATTAGATTGGCACGTGTTTGAACGACCTCATGAAATGTCCCTGTTTTCCAGCTGCATTTTAGCCACTTTATAATCAAATAACTGTGTTACCTTTAGTTGTAATAAAATGCTGGACATATCAAATAAGACTTCAAAGAAATCCGACTTCATAATTTTGGGGCTTTGTCTCGTAAAGACACTCAAGAAGTCATCGCAGCGTGGCTTCTCTATCAACCCTTTAGCGACATTTTATCAGCGTCTCTCTAAGAAGCAGCTCGTATCATGAGATGCGCAGTTCCGCCAGCTGTTTGCTAATCACTGCGGGCTAGTCTCAAGGAGCTCACCCCAGAGGGCTGCTCTTTAAGAGAGAAGCTCAGAAACTGCATCCTTCTCAGAGCGACAGCTTGTGAGATAATCCGCTCTCACGTCTTCCCCGCATGGGGGTGATCTGTCATTTGCTGCGACTTAAGTCTGAGGATGGAGGCGGCGCTGCATGACGAACAGGAACACTACACACTAATAACTTTTTGAACTAGAAACGACTTGATCTGATTACCATGAATCTTCTCTAAGTGACGATCAGATTGTAAGGGGGTTGTGCTCAGGGGAAATTTCCTTTTTAAATGTTTTTGTGCTTCTTCAAGTTCTTTACTGCTTCTAGAAACAGCAAAGTGCTTGAGAACCCCTACAAAAGGCAGCTGTCGGGGTTTTGTCGCCATCTGAAGAACCTTTTGGTTCTAACGTTAGAAATCAGCAGCTCATCCAGCATCATCCAGCTTTACAACGGCTGCTGGAAAAATCATGTTTTGCATTCGACTTAACATCCAGGAATCCCCACTATGTCCTTGACGATGCATTTGGAGAGTTTTTAGAAAGTGTTCAAGGGAGAATCATTTCAAAATAGTTGTAATCATGTGACAGAAAAGCAATAAAATGTGTACATTTGAACAAAATGCCCGCATCTTATTGATTCATTTACTTTGAAATTTCTACAATCTGAAATGTGACATCATCGGTGAGTAGCAGTCATTGCTCAGTAACGAAGTGTCACTGTGTAGTGTTCTTGTAAAACGCAACTATTATGTTTTAAAGTCTTGTTTCGTTGACAAAAGATTTTGTGTCTTATGATCTGCTTCAAACATTTGATTTTCCGGAGCTTTTCGGGCGCATGAAGTTTCCTGAATTAAAAAAACAGAGAGAGACATTACAATCGCCAAAGCGCCGGAACACCGTGCTTCTAACATTTCATCTGGCGTCGTTGACTGTGACTCTAAGAGCTGATGCATCGCTACTAATCCCAGCAAACGTGATTCCTGGCTGATGAGTTGGACTAGAGCTCGGCTCCTTCCTGAAGTATCCATTACTGGTGTAATGAAATGAGACTGGAGAAGCGGGTTGTGGGTGTGTGCATGGATTCTCAAATGCAGAGCGAAAAAAAAAAAGAAATAGTCAGAGAGGGTGAAGAGGAAGAGGGAAGGGACTTGTTTATAATCTCCTCAGGCTTTCAGTAAAACAAAAATGGCGGAATGGATCTGAATACCTGCCTGTGTCTCGAATCGATTTTGAACAGACGGCATTCGGAGGCCTCTAGTCTGGATTCCTCACTCCGTGAGTGTTTTCGTAATCTACAGCGAGGTATTACAAAAAAGTCTCAGACTCATTGCAAGCTGGACGGGTGCCGACCCGGAAGCGTTCGCCCCAGGCCGCGGTTGCCTCCCTGAATTTTCCGGCTGCCGTCTCACATTATCACAAGCCTCTCGGTCTCTCACTCTCCCGCTCGTCGCTTCACACTCATTCATCTTCACACTCGTTCATCTTCACACTCGTTCATCATCACATGACGTCTTTGTTCTCTCGTCGTTCTCCAACTTGATTGGGAATGCAGCGCGGCACGCGCAAGAGACTGAAATATTGATGGCCTTCCCCAAAGGCGACAGATAATTTGATTGGGAGTGGGTACGAAAGCACTGGAAATAGCCAAATGCTCGATTGCCTAACCAGGCAGGCAACCATAACCAAAATCTCAGGGAGGGAGACAAAAGGTGGGGAAGACAGTGTTAGATCAGACTAAGACTGCCTTGAGACATTAAGGATCTCGCAGAAAACTGATGCTTTTTCCAGGGTATTTTCTGGGGGATGCATTAAGTACAGTCCTCTTCCTATTAATAAGTTTCCTGCAACATTTAGAAAAATATCATGCTTGATCGCCTAACTAGGCAGGCAACCATGGTCAAGCTGCGAGGTGCGACATGAACAAAAAAGATATAAGATTGATTCCCGCAAAGAAATTGTGCACACACCTCCAAATTGCGCATTCGCCTGTTGAATGGACCCGAACATATTTTCTACGTCAAAATAAAGTCTTAGCGTCAGGCGCTACAAACCGTGTAGGGAGGATCTCTCTTAGAATAAACCACAGTGGGTTGAAGAGTGAAGAAAAAAAAACATACAGATTTTATTTAAAGGAATGATTCCTAATGACTGATGATGCACTCGAATAAAAAACTGACTGAATACTGAATGAAATTCCCTCCAGTAAGCGCTCTTGCTTACTGTATTGGAAATTACGAGGTAGACTAGTAGTTACAGAAAAAAGGAGCCACTTTAGAGAAACTGACATCACTGTCTACCAAACGACCTCAACGTTAACATCAACCTTCTCGTTCTTCCAAAAGTATTTCTTCATATCTGAAGCTGAAAGAGTCTACAAAGGACCACAGGAAAATAAAGGCGCTCTAGATGTTCTGGCTTTCAAAAGCCCATAACATGGATCAGACAAAGATGTTGCCTTATTCAGGACGTTTCCCGTCTGGACTGTATAGTGAAAGGGTTCTAAAGACGGGGATCTGAGGACGAATCAAACAGGAAAATGCAGAGATTTGTCAGACTTGAGTTTAATTAAGGGCAGTAGCGAGAGCTCACAGGAGCCGGGTAAAAGAAAGAACAAACTCTGTAACAAATGAATTAATAAGGATCGGGGCTGCAGGCCAGAAAATCTAATAAGAGTCCAAACATAAATCCAAGGGAAGCGAAGGATGTCGACAACGGTACGGCAACGAGCCGCAGAGGAGAAGACTGGCTTCGCTCTCAGACGTACGCGGGTGAAACCGAGGCCAGGTGACGAGAAGTCAGGCCAACAAAACACGTGAATGGAGATGCTGTCAAAGACGGCGCTTCTCTGGTGCATTTGCTCGTCTCGCACACATGCAAACCGAGAAGCTGGAGGGGGAGAAAAGGAATTTTCCCAAAACTAAGAATCTAGAGAAAAAATTTGGTTTGTCGTGCGTCTGTGTTGACGACGTCCAAAATGATTCAGAACGAGGACACGGCACGACCTAAATATTCAAAAAAATAAAATTCAGACACAAAGAAACAGAACAAAAGTTAAATTACATAAGAAGATGAGCATGGATCTAAGCAGCTGGAGTTCATTTGAAATATGTTATATATGTATGTTTCCTGGAGCTAGACTTTTGTTGAATTATTCCAGTGAATAAACAAACAAAAAAAAAAGTGACAGCTTCTATCTCTCTTTCTCTTTTAAATGTCACCCTGAACAACCAGGCAGAATATTCTTATATGTCAGAGGGTAAAAGCTTTAACATTTAAAAAGAATGACATAAAATAGTTGCCATCAGCAATAACCATTCATTTCTCAGGGAAACAAATGGATGCGAATCCCTCAGAACATCAGAGGTCGTTTCAAGCATCAGCCGTCAGCCGATTGAAGCAGCAGCATCGAAACATCGTTGGCAGATGAACACAATTTATCGCACGCCGCTTCGAACGGCGTTGTGGGTTTTTGCAACGTTGCCTCGCGGGGCAAACGGATCCGGCAACTCTTGTTCTTTTTGTTGCTCACGCGAAGCCCGGAGCTTGCATCCGAAGGCGTGCTGAATAACAGAGCCGTTGCAGATCGGTGAGGGATGGTGGGAGGATGAAAGATGCAAAGTGGGTGACGAAGAACGGAGGAAGAGCCTGTTCCTGTCCAGATGGAGCCTCCATGGGAGTTTGGACCATTTGCAGAAAGTGTGTGTGTGTGTGTGTGTGTGTGTGTGTGTGTGTGTGTGTGTGTGTGTGTGTGTGTGTGTGTGCGTGCGTGCGTGCGTGCGTGCCTGCGTGCGTGTGTGTGTGTGTGGAGAGAGAAATAACTGTAATGATTCTGGCATTGGACCAATTGGAGGCTGAGCAGTTTGGATCACAAAGTACTTTTTCTTGAACATTTCCAACATGCTGGAAAACGACTGAAATGTCAAGGTTTTCAAAGCCCTCACGAGAAAATGTTAGAATGATGCAGAGAGTCAATATTCAGAGTATTGACCCGTCATCGTTTTTGCATTTATTGAATGAAGTTAAGATTTGAAGATTTTCCTGGCAACTAAAGAAAATTGTTACTGTTATCTGAAAAAAAATAGGTTTCAATGCTCTGCACACATGGTGAGATAAAATAAACATATATATCTTATATTGATGCATATTTGTGCATATTTTGACATTCTGTTGCAGTTAACACAGCTACATAAGCTAATGAATCCAAAATAATAAATAAAAACCATAAATGGACTATGATGTGTCGTCTGGATCCTCGGGGTGTTATGAGTCATTCTTCAACATGTTCTTCCTGTCTCTTTTTTTCCTTTCCTTCTTTGTTGAAATATTTCAAGCCACATGTTTCTTTCACATTCCACCCACTAAAATCTTTTGTCAATTTTCTCTTCGGTTTTTAGAGATAAGTTGTTTACATGTACTTTGGGCCTTGGGTGACGGACCGCGCTGTTTGATTTCATTTTTATCGCTCTGTCAGGATTCCTCAGGGCTGCAAATGAGTGTTTCTGTACTTGATGTCTAATCCCAGCAGAGGCAGATGTTTTTTTTAGTCACTTGTTAAATCTGCGGATTGATTTGTAGAGAAGAGAAAAAAAAAAGAAGCCGTTTCAGTTGGATGCCTAAGCTTTGAAAACCCAGAGGCTTTTGTACTCTTGGCTGTAAGAGCCGGCTCGCCCTTTAAATTACTCCCAGGGAAGCTGATGCACTCTTCATCGAAGATGAGCGCCGACAGACCAGTGGGCATGTTTGATGTTTGCGTGAAATGAGTTGCAGTGGTGTCAGTAAGCACAAAAACAAAAAAAACGATTTGCTGGATTAGATTGGACCGCAATCCCTCCACTCCAACGCAGGATTAGACAACAACTGGTAATCTGCAGGGGGATGTGGACGGCACGGGGCTGAACCCGAAAGATGGTGGTCAGTCTTGCCGCTCAGGAAGGTTTAACAGAAGCTGGTGAAGGGGGAGGTCAAAGGTTAAGACATTGCTGCAGTGCTGCAATGTGCCATTAAAGTTATGTAATAGCGAGAAAATGTCAAACACTCCCACGTTTGGTGCGCTCGTTTGCTAAGTTAAAGCAAAAACAGTGAACTGTTCAGAGGTGGAAATTGCTTGAGTGATCGTTTGTTTCCTCCCACTTTTCTCATGAATTTGGCAGGAAGACACATCGAAGTTGTAACTCAAAACAAAGCAGTTAGTTGTAGCTGCAAAAGGCAATTTAAATAAAGATTTTTTTTTTTAAAATAGGCAGAATGGATGACAAACACATTAAACTAGAGCTGATTTTGATGAGGGTCGGCTCACCGCCCGGGGCGTCATTGTGTCTGTCTATCTCTGGCGATGAAATAAATAAGTAAAAATGAGGAATTTTAATAAAAGTACTTACTCATTAAAGTTTCTTTTATTTAGAACATTACACTTTTGTAAAGGTGTAGCAGAGATTACATCAGTCAGACTAAACAAAACTCATATCGAAGCAGCATTTGAATCTTATTTCTCAACAGGTTGCTTACTTAGAAAAACAAGTTTGAAGTGCATCACTAGTCATTTTTGGTCCTGCAGCTTGAATGTGATTTAAAAACTTTTTAAACTACATTTTACGTTACATTTCACTGTAACTTTTCCAAACCCCCCCGCAAAATTGGTCTTTAGAAATTTTTCTGTTTATGGTCCCACCTCAATAATGAGATAATAATTTATGCCCTTGATTGTAATGAAGACTTTTCTTATCTTTTCTTTCCTTTTGTTTTGTTTCTTTTTGATGCAGATTAACATTTTATTGAGTCTGGCAAGAGCCATGTGTGTGTGAGAGAGATACTGTTGCTGCTGCTGGTCTGTTTTGAGTGCGATCGCTGAATAAAAGAAGAGCTGTCACAGTCTGAGGCTTCGCTCTCTTTGACTCTCTTTGAGTTCTTTTAGAATCAGATAAATGGTTCTTTTTTTCTTTTTCTTCACTGCAAGAATCTTCAGATGTTATCTGTTGCCCTGTTTTTTTTTTTTTTTTTTGTTTCCCTCCCACTCCATGATTCTCACCGTTTCCTTGGCACACTACCGAACCCAGCAGGCTTCGTTCACATAAGTTGGGGCTTTAGATGAAACCAAATGACCACATTCCTTTCTCCAAAATATCACAACTTTAATCAAGATTCAGAGTTTTGTACACGGCACGTGTTCAGAACAATACGACACCATACAGGACGTGGACGTCAACGGCGTTTGTGCGATCGACGTGGATCGTAGAGCATAATGGCAACAAAAGTATCTTTCAGTTTCATATATCATAAACACAATGGCAATACAATAAAAAGAAAAGAAGGGGAAAAAAACAAGCCCTAAAAGGTTCTGGCATGAGCTGAGCAGACACCAATATCAAAGACGAACGGAGGCACAACGAGACGGTTTGGACTTGTTCTAGTGTTAGTTCGGTGGCACCGTGCAGACGCTTCAAGTACTGTGTTTATGAGGCTGTAAAACTTTGATCAAACTGCTTTCATCTCGCAGTGTCACCTGGGACCTTAACGACGCTTAATTGGCTCAAAACATCTTCAGGGTGTTAAAGATGGCGACGGTACATGGGTACAAACACCCCTGACAGGCACTTTCCACCGTCAGTAATAAAACAAAATCAGCTTTTTCTTTTTTTTTTAAGAAAGTTCTTTGAAATGAACAATTTGTTTGTAGGAGTTAGTTCAGCATGAAGGGAAAGAAGAGTTTGGCAAGGCATTCTGACTCATGCATGGAATGTCTTCTTTTCAAATGGTGAAAAGATTTCGGATTTATTCACCAGGAGCTGCGTTTCCGTTACGTTTTGTCAGCGTCCCCCCCATCCAAAAACAACAATAACCAAATTAAATGCAAATTTCTCAATTACTAGGTTTTCCTTAATTCAGAAACACGTGATCGGGTCTGATCGCGCTAAAAAAATAGAAGAAAAAAAAAACATGCCACGTCGTTATCCTCCCATCACTTCCTGTCTTCTCCACTTTGAACCATAACGTTTGGTTATTGGTCACATGACTCGTGTGACGCTGGGGGGGAAAAGATTTTCCATTGCGTTTTTGCAAAATACGCTGAATTCGATATTCAAAAGACTTTTCATCATAAAAGTGTTAATTTGCAAAATGATACGGTCAATGGAAAAGCAGCTCCTAATGCATGGAGGACATTTAAAAACATTCACATTTTACAACTTTGAACATTGCATCAACATGTCTGATATAACATAACACCACATATTTAATAATGGGGGGGGAGAAGAGTTTAGGTTAGCAGTTCTCAGAAGTCGGTCGAGTCCATAATAAATGCATCAGATACTAAAAGTCAGTCTCAGAAAAACAAACACAGCCATCCTGCAGGAACGTAAAATGCAACGACCTGGTCCGCGACGCCTGGCAGTGGCAAGACATTATCAGTACGAGATTACATCATGCAGAAGAGAAAAACAATGCAATATCATTCACATCTGATCCATCGTCCCTCTCATCCTCCCGCTTCCCTCTGGCTTTCATCATCCAGGCTGCCATCCGCTGCTTTAATATTCCCGTCACTTTCTCCAGCGTTTTTCCAGCGCCTCACCTTGACCCCGAGCTCTAAAGCTGTCGCAGCCTTTAAATAATACCACTTCAGGCCTGCTGCACAAACGGAGGGATTCCCGATGCCCCCAATTCAGCTTCTCGCTTCCCACACGGAGCTCTCAGCACACGGACGGCCCAGAACTCGGAACTCGTTGGATTCGGTGCTTCCAAGGAGGCGATTTGAGTCCGCAGACATTGATGACGCTGGATTTTCAATCATTCAGAAAAAAAATGAAATGAACATACATATATTTAGCAAATTAGAACATGAAGACAAGTTAAGATGTTAACCTTGGCACTGCGCTTTGAGAGGCTCGTTTCCGCCAAACCTCGACTGACACCAAACCGAAAACACATCAATTTGTGGCACCGCCTTTGCTTAAAGAGGCCAAAGCCATCGAGAAATTTTGTTAATGTGTTCCTGGTCTGCAACAACGCTTCAGCTCGTGGTTCGTGTCAAATCAACATCGACATCGATGGCAGAACCGAGCCGGGTTCCCAGCAGGATCATTGCCCAAACCTTCACTCTGTCTCTCTGAGCCTGTTTTCTGCTCAGTGTGCATCAATGCGGCCTTTGTCATCTCTGACCCAGATGCTGGTTCAGCACTGTTTTTTTTTTTCCCCCTTTCCCTTTCGATAACCACCAGAAGCCCAGAGCAGGAGCTGCAGCTGCAGCTTGTCCAGCCACAACAATTTGGTGTTTGTCACAGTTGTTCAAACTGAAAACGCTGACCCGTTGTTTGTTTTATGCTGCCAACACACTGTGTTTGAGGACAAAAGCAATCCTTTATCCAAGTCACTAACAGGTCAGTGTTGTTCATTTCATCTGTCTGTGGCTGAAATCTCACAAATGATAGACGTATATGTCAGTTTGCTGAAGTTTCTAGAGATTACTCATGAAATAATTCAAATGATTTTGTCCTAAATTAAATTTGTAGGAGTTCTTCCTGTGCAAATAATTTAAAAAGAGAGAAAATGGCTCCGATAGTTTATCATTCCTGTAGTAAAATTTCTCACCTTTTACTGATTACCTCCATAATCTCATTTATGAGTCACAGGAACAGCAAAACTACTGAATCACACATTTCAATGAGCCTAAAAATTCACCAACATTAGCTCACTTCTCTGGCTCTGACTGTGATGCTTTAAAAATATATTTTGAATCTTTTATAAAGATTTACCATTAAAAAAGTCACAATTCTGCATCATGTAAAAATGAAATTCCAGGGAGAATTCAAAGTGAAAATCAGCATAATTGAACATCCGAATCCAAATTCAGGGGCTGCATCCTCCGAAGGCCGCGTTTGACGAAAGCGCTCCAAATTCAAAGACTCCGTCCTCGTCCCCCAGACGTTCGTCCCTCTTCCTCCTGGATGTGAAGGACGTTGAGTCCTTCGCTCTTCCACTGACTCCCATTGAATTCGTTAATCTAATTAATGAATACGATTCAGATTGTGAACGGGGGACAAAGAAGCCCGGGAGCGTTTCGGGTCACATTCTGGCTCGCCAGTTTGAAGAATGCGGCCCCTGAATTTGAACACGCGTAGAGCAAACAAGAGGGCAGAAAAGCCAGCAGGCAGGTAAAGTGTAGATTTGATTTTCTTGATCAAACTGTCAGGAGGGTTGAAGAGAATCTGAAACCATCTTCCTGTTCTGACTTCAAACTAAGCAAACCCAAGCTTAAGCATTTTCTCGTACACAGTAACTCCGACTCCAGCTGCGTGTGTGTGTAAATAAAGTGTGGTCTTGCAGCGCAACCCCAGAAACACTCCAGAAAAGTTGCTAAGATTATGACTCTCTTGTGTCGCCTTGCTATTTGCGGTTTTTCGGACATTCTTGAATCAGCGTTGGTTGGTGACTTGAATCTTTCCTGCGGTCCTCTCTCCGCCGGTCACTGGGAGCTTTTGCTGTGTTTACTGCAAGGCTCCCCGGGGTCTTTGGTGGCTCCGCCGTAGACTTGCACTCTGTTTTCGCTCCAGAGGACCACGGCGCCCTGAGTCACTCTGCTGCACCGGGCCAGGCCAGCGACCTGGGCGGACAACAGGACCCGATCCCACAGGCCCACCTGGGACAGCTCTCCGACGAAGGCCTGGGTCGAATCGAAACTGCCACCCAGGGAATCCTGGAGAGGAATTAGACTCTTAAAAAGAGACACACTCTTAATCTCCAGCACACATGACTCTTTTTTTTTTTTTTTTTTTTTTTTTTTTTGCAGTCTTTCTGCCTTGGGCAACCCCTCAGCTCTGTGGAAGTTTAATCAGCTATTCAATAGAGCGGGGGATTATTATCTTCCTCTAAATGTTATTTTCCTACAGTTTGTAGTTTCTGAACAAAATTCACATATCAAACACCCAATGTTTGTCCAAACTGAACCTCAAGTGCAAATCAGCCGTAAATGTTCATCTTTTAGCTTTAGAAATAACAGAAACCCACGTCTGCAGTGAGGCTGCGTTCACACTGCAGGCGTTAACTCAGTTCTGTTTTGTCTGCTTCACATTTCCACATAAATGCGACGTGTGTGCGATTTCTCGTGTGAACCGCAAACAACCTATACGTGTCCCGCATGCGCAGTAGACGCTGCAATGACGCCATACTTAGTGAGCATGCTCAGTATTTGAGGCAATAAACATGGAAGCTTATGTGTTGCAGCGTATCTTGCGGTTTTTAAAGTTCACCGCCAGGGTTGTTGTTTTTCTTCCCATTTCTGCGTTGCAGGATGCAGAATGGTGACATTTTGTTTGAGCATCGATCACATTCAGGCTTGATGAACGCGACCCGGACCTGTTTGAAAAGATCAGATCGAATTTCAAACCACATATCTCATGACGCGTTTAACACCAAATGCGTTCAAAATGCGTCTGACGCTTCAAGTTTGATATGTGCGCACTTTGAATGCAGACGCTTGACATTTTGCGCTATGCCGAGCCGTGGTTTGCATTCAGGGTCCATGCAGAGGTGCGTCTGATGCGTCAGATCAAGCCGTAGTTTTCCGTTGGATGCTCTTGACATGTCAAACGTTCAAAAAGCTCCAAATGTTCCAAGTCACGCAGCGCTAGACTCTTGAAACGCACCTCCACATAGACTTTGAATGTAAACCAGAAGCACCTGACGCTCAATTCGCGTTTGGTGTGAACGCACCACAAGTGAGTATTTGTTCAAATCCCATTTGAGTTGTTCAGACTGTCATGAAAAGATCAGATACCGGAAACTAAAGAGCAAAAATATCGAATTTGTGTCACTTCAACCTGCAGTGTGAACGCAGCCCAAGTCATTTTTAGCCGTCTTAGCAGCTTGGAAACCAGTAACAACTAAACCATTTCGTCTTTTAGTCTGACTTTAAATGTGAGTAACTCACCTGCTCCTGCCCGAGGACCAGCTCTCCCCCGGGCCTGATGTGGTGTCCCGGGGCCAGTCCGTGGCCCTCGCCCCTCAGCTTTCCTCCCTGGTAGGCCTGCCATGCCCCACCTTTCTGGGTCCAGCTCACGCAGACGTGCTGCCAGCTGCCTCCGGAGAGGTTCAGAGGCAGCTTCGCCACCTAGGCATGGCAACGGGTTGTCAGGACCGCGCAGCGTCGTTTAAAACCTGCGCAAGCCTTTACGTAGCCGCGCACGGAAAGGTGACAATGATGCAGCAGGACGCAAATGAGATGCTAAGATGCAGCAGTGTGAGGAGATTTCCGCATCCAAATCTGTTCTGCTGCTGCCTCTCCAAGCTATTCCCCGCAGGAATAGATTACCATAATGACTTCTACAAAATACAAAATATTTACATATATCACAGAACTGCTCTGCATCTCCGAACAATGCTTTCAAGGACTGAGCTTTATATTCCATTAAATCACACGAACAATGTGTCAGAAGAAGACTTCGCTGTCCTATTGCTTTAACGCCAATCCAAAGCAGACAGCCTTCCTCGATTTTCATTAGGACATTTAGAACGAGGTCGCGACCTTAACAGATCGCTGACACACACTTCAAATCATAATAGGGCCCAGAAATAAACTCTATACAAGTTCGCTTGTATAGAGTTATCACGAATGAAAAGATGCTACATCTTCGATTTAAAGCGAGCAGAGCAAAGAGGAGGAAGCGACTCAAGCATGATGCGCACTTTAAAAGATCAAAACAGACACTTTGAGTCTGACCAGGCTCGAAAGGAGAAATCAAAAGCTCGTTCTTTTAGCGTTGCCGCTGCAATGGGAAGGTCAGCGTTGGGGTGGATTTGTATCGATGGTGTGGACGTGTTGAGCTGCCAGAGCTGGGAAATATGTCCGGGAGCGGGGAGAAACTTTCTTGTTGTAACGGAGATTTGAAAGAACTCATTAAAATAATACATTTTCAGGAGAATCAATGGGGAAAAAAAGAGCCTGATGTTAAATTAAACTCAACAGAGCTTAAAGATTTTTGTGTTTTTGACATTTTTTTTCCCCAAATTTCTCCCCTATGGTCTTTTTTTTTCTTCTTTCTTACAAATTTTAATTGGAAGTAAAAAAAAATGTAAATAAATAAATAATGACCCTGCATATAGGAAAGGACATAATGACAAAACTTTCTGAATCAGTAAGTTTTCTCTGAAACTTTTCATCACCGTTTTGTTGGGATCATGGGACGTTTTGTGGTTTGATTTATTGATTCCAGTTTCATTATTGTTCGGTATTTCTCTTACTTTGATCGGATCAACCTCGTTTCTGTTCATCTCTTTCTCAGTGATTCTGCTTTATTGTGTTTCTTTGTAGCTCTAGTTTAATTATGTCGCCCGCTCGTTCTTTAGGTAAAGGAATTTTATTTCCATTGCACATTTTCAACAGCAAGGCACTTCCAAGTGAATCTTAAGTGTTAGATTTACTTCCTTGTCTGCTGTTTACTCTCCCTCGCCCCTCAGCCATTTTCTCTCTCTCAATTCACACCTGCAATCAGGTGTGAATTGTTCCCCATTCACTCTCCCTGTACTCAAACACTTCTTCTTCTCCTGTCACTCTTTGCCTCTTCCTCCCATTAGATCCCGTTCTCCGCCAGGCTTCTTGTGCCTTTGTTTGCTCCTGATGTTTTTTTGTTCTCCCCTGGCTCCCTGTCCTCCCATGATTCATTGTGAACCTCTGTTCATTTTTTCATCAAAACCACAAAATTCTCCTCGGCGCCTCCGCCTGCTGCATTCGTGTCCTCTCAACAACAATCGGAACGAACGTAGAAAAAAAACAAACATATATTTTTTAGGTTTCAAAATCTCCTAATAACATCAAACCGCGACATTTTTCCTGGAGGTCGTCACTCCAGCCGATGCCGGCCTCAGTTAAATGTCCGGACTCCGTACCTTGTCGTTGATGAGCAGCTCAGCCGGAGCGCTCCGGTCTTGCAGGAGCACCAACTCGTTCGGTTGCTCTGCGACAGCGTAAGACAGGGGCGTCCCCATCCCCGGCGCGGCGGGCCGCAGCCACAGGCAGGCGGTGAAGGCCCGCAGCTTGGGGACGGCGTGTCTCATCAGGGCGAACATGTAGTTGGTCCGAGCCGGGAAGGACAACCTGAAGCCCTCCGGGAACGAAAGCCCTGCGACGCCTTTGGAAATGCGGCATGAAGAAAGTGACATGCGGGTAAATTATTCTCCATGTATTTTATTGAGACGTTGCAGGATAATTATGGGATATTTATTTTGCACTAATTATATTTCCGCAGCTTCGGTGTCATAAATCAGAAGAAGGGAACCTGGCTCTCATCAGAAATGAATAAATCAGTCATGCTGCTCCCTCTGTTACCGTCTCCAAATAGAGCGATTGAATATGCGCACAGTTTGCTTCCCTCTCTGTCTCTCTCTCTCTCTCTCTCTCTCTCTCCCTTCTGCATCACCTTCTCTGTCTGCTAGTTTGCTGATGTCCTGCTCTTTCCTTCTTGTTTCTGCCTCAGGCCTCCTCAGGGCTTTCCTCTCCTTCTCCAGCAGCTCCACCTTCCTCTCCAGCTCCTCTTCCAGGTCCTCCAGCCCCCAGGGCCTCTCCGGACCGGCGCCGCGGCCCGGAGAGGCTGACCTCTCTGGGCCGCCCTCCTCCGACGCGTCCGAGGACTTGCTGTCCGTGCGGTTGTGAGAAAAGGGACCGATGTCTGTCTGCGGAGGAGGGAGGTAGAAACTGGATCAGAATTTGGGGGCTTTGCCGTCTCTGCAAGCACCAAAGGATTTATTCAAGAGGAGTTTATGTAATGCCGCTGCATTTGGCGAGGCTTGATGCATTGTTAACTGGCTGCTACACCTAGGATTCTGTTTTTCTCTAAATGAAAACCTAAAGACAAAGAAGTGGTAGATTTACCCCCGTTTTCCAATACTGCACTATGTATTGGAGATCTGCTGAAAAGGAAAAAAAGGCAGCTTTGAAAGCAAGACTGCAGGTTGGAGGCTTCCCAGTCCCAAACACTGCTAAAAAGAAAATGTGCAGCAGCAGGAACTGGCATCCAGCTTCACGCTGAACAGATTGATAGGAGGGGGAGGTCGCCACCGTGCCTTTCTGCAAATGTTGCTCTAAAATGTCCGTGGTGTTTTAACCGTTCATGCCGCATCCAGGAGCTGACCGCAGCTCAGCTTCTCTGAGAAATGCTGCAGAGGTAGAGCTTTTGGGTTTTACAGATTTGATTTCGCACGCCGCAGAACCAAACCTTACGTTTTAGATCAAATCTCAGCGGCTAGCGAGAAAATATAGATCTTCTTTTCAGCAGACTGAGCTCAGTGCGCAGGTGTGTCAGTGCTGCGCCTAAATAAAATATTTATGCCCTTCAAAACCTTTGCATTTTGCTACACTGCAGCCACAAACTTCAACGTGTTTGTTTGGATTTTCCGCGACACACTATTGTAAGATAAAGAGAAATTCATGTTTTTCTTTCTTTTAACAAATAAGCATCTTAAAATCGCATCTGTATATTTTTATTCAGCATGACAGAGAGTGGACCCCCAGCTATTCACAGACTCACCGACTTGAAGTGTGTTTTTTATCATACAACAATTTTTTGATTTTTTAAAATGAAACTTTGTAAGATAAAAAAAATCTAAGCATAGAGCTACTTGACACACTAACTGGCTTGTAGGTGCAGGATCACCATCTTTCCTGATGCTAACTGGCTGCACCCTGAAGAGTGGAGACAAGTAGATATTAGCATAGATATTAGCTACCATGGTGTTGCTAAGACATTTTACACTTCGCTTCTTAATGCATGCTAACCAATATTTGGTGTTTGGTTATCAAACTGGACTTTTATCTTTTTTTGTAAGTATTGGCCGTTTTAGAGGTCGATTACAGGTTTTGGAGGTCACTAGCGACTGCGAACATTGTATTTACAAATGGAAAAATGAATAGCGCAAGACTTTTTTTTTTATCATTCGTCACTATTATCACAGTTTTTCGATTGCATTTATGTTTTAATGCATGAATGTGCTATGATTTAATCCGCTCCATTGTGTCTTCAGTGTCACTCTCTCGCTGAAAGCTGAACCTCCCGTCTGACGTCTCGTGCAGCAGATTTTTCTTCTACTGGAAACCTGTATTTAGCACCACCAAACTTCCACTTTACATTTCTGAAATTTCATGTTTACTCTTACAGAAAACGACGGAGCCCCGCGATTGTTTGAATGCAGGCCAAAAAAAAAAGAGGAAAAAACACATTTGGCCTCATCAGACCAGAGCAGCTGGTTGCTCTGTCCCCTATGTGACATTCGGAAAGCTGCATTAAGTCATTTTTCAGGAGCGGTTTTCTTCCTGTGAAGGTTGGGTTTGAGAAGAGTCATGTTCTCCACCACCTGAGCTTCGGATCTGTTCTGCTTTCCTAAAGTCTCCTTGTGTCTCTCAGCTGTTTTGATCAATCGTCTCCTTGTCCAGCCTGTCGGTTCAGATGAACTGAACCGACAGGCTGCTGGTAGATGAACTGAGCATCGCTCTGTGAGCTGCTCACAGCAGCGCCGCAGTGAAAGACTACATTTAGATTGATTTCTCTAAGCATGTTTACCAGAGGGCGTTAGCATTTCTGGACGTAAACACTTTCGATGGGAAAGTTTAAATTCTCTTTTCTAACAATACCAAATGCAATAAAACTCCTTTCATTTTATGACTTACCCCCCAGTAATGGAGCTGCTTCTCTATTTGGAAACAGATGCAGAAGGCATGAAACTTTGCGCTGCATTTGACTTTTAAGATGTTTACATTTTATGCAAATATTGGTGCTTAGTGAAAATGGCTAAAAAATGTGCAAGTCCAGTTTTGGGTGGTTTAAATGTAGCTCCGATCTTATTGTTAGGCCAAAATGCTGCATGTGCGCTAAAAGGCATTGAGAGTTGTTGGTGCATAATGGGGAAAATATGTAGAAAAGAAAAAAGACCGGACCAGTTTAATCTGAGCCGGTAGAAAACATCTCTTCGTCCTACTCAACCAGGTCAAGTAGCTCCTGTGTACAAATCGGCAGAAGAGGGAAAACGTGTTGATTAGGGAGAAAACCTGTGAAAACCACTGATGAAACACAAGAGGCTGCAGAGCGAAAGGGTTCCTCATTCCCTGAAAAGTGTCAGAACTGGGATATTGCACATCTGCGTGGAGAAACAGACGGCGCAAAGGAAATGACCCACACAGTCACGTCCTACATAAAATAGCAGGAGGCGCATTACAACGCCGGGCCGCAAGTCCACTCTGTCACTCCTAACAAATATGGGCACGCCATGAATTATGCATTGCATTTCTTTTGCCCGAAATGAAGCTATAAATCACTTTATCCTGGTCCAGTCAGAGCTTGTTTCATGTTGCTCTGCTATATTTTCGCTCCTTTTTCCTGCTCTCTCCTCCTGCCTCCACATTTGTCTTTCGAACTCACATTTTATCCTCCTATGTTACCATGAGGAAAATGGCAACCTTTATCAAAATTTAAAAAAAAAAATCCTATTAAAATATCCATTATCACTGAGTGACATTCTTAATAACATGATTATTACTAATCTGTGATGATTGGGCTTTGGAAGTAGCTCATAAATCCCTTCTGGTGTCAAATCATCTATTTTTTATCAAAGACTGAAGACATTTGATTTTATAAATGACTCAGTAAGTTGTTCACTGCCTGCGTTTACCACTGTACAACAAATTAAGAAATCCACTTGGAGCAAAATCCAAAATAGGTTGAAAACTGAACAGATGTCTGGATTTAAGACATCTACTTGTGTCGAAGTGAGGTGGAAATTTAGCTTGAGCCGATCAAATGCTACACGAACCGAGCCAGACCTTCAAAGATTTGGGCTGGGCTGATTTTGAACAGGATGCACAAACTAAACCAATTTGAATATATTTATCTGGGTCAAATGTAGATAAGGACTGGCTGACCAAGATATTGAATTTGACACATTAAAACGTCTTGGTTTATTTACTAAATGTTTTGTGTCGTCTTACTGAACTGATATGAATTCCATGTAAGATTATGTGAAACAGTTTCCCACCTAGGTTACGGGTTTTCAGCTGGGTTCCTCTGCCAGTTTCTTCATGATTTCCTGGCTTTTCTTTTCCCCTTTCAGTCTGGGTTTTCGACAAAACAAGAAATACCGGACTAGCCCCCAAGAAGTCCCCAATGAGTAACATTTTGTTGAAAAGAGATTGTTAATCTACACAAAGTGAACCTGTGTTTATAAAGTCATGGGCCTTTATAGAATATATTTGCTTTTATGTATAAAGTTGTTAGGGTTAATCAAATGAGCTAATCCACATTTGCGCTCATCTTGGTTCTCAATAATCAGTTTAGATGAGGTCTGGCTTCCCTGAAACAGCATAATAAAAGTGGATGTCCAGTTTTTAGAATAATTACAGTAAATAATAGGCTGAATCTGACACACAGGGCTTCCTCTATGCCTTTTCACAGATTAGACTGACTTTGATTAAAGCTGTGCGATCCTAAATTACATCTGTCTTCAGAGTAGTAGAACTGATTTCACTCATTGGTTCATTGGTGATTTTTTACCTCCAGTCTGTCTATGCGGTCTGTGAGTTGGGTGATCGCCTGTTCGAGCTCAGCCACAGTTCCCACCGTGAGCAGATGGACCCCGTCGGGCGCAGAATCCGGGCTGTCCCGCACCATCATCCGCTCCAAGTGGGTCTCCCCCTCGGCTCCCTGTCCGCCTCTCAGCGAGGCGGCGTTCCCGCGTCTGTCCGGGCTGCCGCTCCTTCCCCCGAGCCCCTTCTCGCACTCGGTCAGCTTCCCCGACAGCTCAACGATGGTCCTCTGGTCGGTCAAGATCTGGTCCTTCTGCTGCAGAACCGTCTGCCGGAGCTCTTCCGCCGTGGTCCGGAGGTAGCCCCAGTCCTCCCCGGCGTACAGCGACGGGTCGTCCGCTTGCTGCTGAAAGTTCCTGGGGTTGCACCCTCCGGCGGGGAGCGGGGTGCAGACGAGCCGACTCACCGCGGGATCGTGTCCCGTGAGCCCGCTGACCCTGTCCGCCCCGCCGAGCCCGACGTTGAACGTGGGCGCTTCGGATTCGGGCGTTTCAGAACCGTGGAGAGCTCCCAAGGAACCGGGCCGGGCCACGGAGCCCCGCGCGGCGGCGGGAGTCTGCGCCACCGCGTCCGGATACAGCGAGTGGTTGTCGGCCGCGGGCTGCCGCTGCGCCGCGGCCGCCTTGGAGGAGCCGGTGTGGACGGCCGCGATGATGCAGATTACCGCTCCGATGAAGGCCACCATCCCGGCGGCCAAGATCACAACGATGAACTTCAGGGTGGCGGCGGGGTGGGGGGGCCAATCAATTTCCAGAAAAACCCCGAGACGTCAAAAGAAACAAAAACAAAAACACTCTTTCTCTGTGGGGAAAGCAACAGCTCCAAATGCGGCGAAAGAGTTGAATAATTAATCAGAACCCGAACCGAGAGAGGGGAGAACGGCTCCTGACGCCTCTCGACAAAAACAGGCGAGCGGAAACACGAGTTTGGCGGCGCAGTTAAGTGATCACGGAGGCGACACTCAACATCGCTTTTCGCTGGGACGCCGCGCCAAACGCTTCCTCTCCTCCTGCAACGCGCATGTCGGCTGGTTCCGGCAGGATGCAGCCTATTAATACTGAGACCGAGCGAGGGGGGCGAGAGATGGAGGAGAAGCGCAGCAGGACTCCCTCTGACGGAACACACGCTCTGACAACAGGCGCAAACCGTGTCAGTGTTCAGCTGTGGAGTAATCAAAATGTTCAATTCCACACTTTACTCATTTCTCAGCCTGTTTGTGTGTAAAAGAGAATTTATCCTCTGTGTTTGAGACTTTAAAACCAAACCGGAAACCATGCAACGTGTCACCAACTCCAATTTATTCAACCGGGATTTTAATAGGCCGTACGGAAAAATGCATGAGTGGAAAGTGAAATTAGACACAAGCAAAACACAATAAGACAGTAAGTCATGTCATATCTGGGTTTCAGGCTTCTTTCTGTTAACATTGTGATCATTTTTGCCATTGTTGATTACTTTCTGTTGCTGAAAAGTCTTGCTTTCCATTTAGTTTGCTCTATTTCTTGTGTTTATTTCTCCTAGATTATTTGCTTTTTAATGTTGGTTCTAGATCAAACCTACACTTTGATTTATTTTTAGATATCTTCTTAAGGTCTTAGCTCATTTATTCTCATCTTCACTTATTGATTCACTTCAACCAAATTTGAACCAATTTCTGAAGTAGCATTTTTTGCTTATCATTTGGGCTTTTACTTTGAAATCATAACCTGACTGTTTCCCAGTTGCAGATGGTTGTGGTTTAGTTGGTTTTTCCTCACCATTTACGGGTCGTGGTTACAGCCAACCTTAAGCAAAGTAGGGGAAAAAGCAAACATGTGGTCAGATTGGACCAAGAGAAAGTTTTGCAGCCTGCTAAGAAGCCCTCAGACACACTCCCTGTCCTGCACCGCCCCCAGTGAAACATGCAGTGGCAGCATCATGCCTCCCTTCTCCATCCTGAAAGGATCAACTTGCAGCTAGACGATGGATGGCTCTGAACATACAGGCGGAGGTACAACTCAAGGATCTGGGCCAGGCATATGTATGAGTTAAAATGGTCTAGTCAAAGTCCAGAGAAGAAATGTGAATGCGCACAATTAGAGGTGGCGCCGTGGGGATCGTTTGTCACATCCTCCATCCTTCCACTTCCCAATGATGCGCAACTTTGTTTCACTCTGTCACAAAAACATCAACAAAACAGAAAAAAGAAAATCAAGTTTGTGCTTTTGTCTGCTTTTGCGAGAGGAGGCGCAAAACCTCGGATCGTGATTTTGGGGGCCTGATCGTTGCCGTTTGCATTTCCAACTCATTAAATCCTGCTTTTTATACGACGTGCGAAGATTCACAACCGGCATGAGTGAGAGTGTGAAGCGGCTCCAGACAGCCAGAGACCGATAAAAAAAAAAAGTCACGAGGAAGTTTTAATTTCACCACGCTCTCCTGGCTCCCGCGGCGCGTGTGTGCGCGCGCGTGCGTGAGCGTGATGAAGCGACGACGACGATGATGATGATGATGATGATGATGATGATGATGATGATGATGATGATGATGATAAAGAAGAGGTGCAGGAATTTGTTTCAAATCGAGCTTTAGATCTAAGAAGAGAGGAGGATTTAGGATGAGGCTGTTCATCAAGCTGAAAGCTGGAATTTCAAATGGGTGCAGCAGGAGGAGATTCAACACCCAAGACTGCAGGGATGGAGAGAGAGAAAGAGAGAGAGAGAGAGAAAAAGAGAGAGACAGAGAAGAAAAGAGAGAGAGAGAAAGAGAGAGGGAGGGAAATAGAGAGAGAGAGAGAGAGAGGGAGGGAGAGAAAAAGAGAGACAGAGAAAAAGAGAGAGTGAGAGAGAGAGGGAGAGAAAAAGAGAGAGACAGAGAAAAAGAGAGAGCGAGAGAGAGATAGAGATAGATAGATAGATAGATAGATAGAGAGAGAAAGAGAGAGAGAGAGATAGAGATAGAGAGAGAGAGAGAGAGATAGAGAGAGAGAGAGAGAGAGAGAGAGAGAGAGAGAGAGAGAGAGAGAGAGAGAGAGAGAGAGAGAGAGAGAGAGAGAGAGAGAGAGAGAGAGAGAGAGAGAGGTTGTGACCTGCAGAGAGGATGGAGGGAAGGAGGGAAGAAAGAAAGAAAGAAAGACATTAAACAGTCTGATGGGAAACAGTCAGGGTCTTTAAACCGCCTTCATTCATATGCAACACATAAACTCGACGGCTGGGAGAATCCGCACTGCTCTCCAGTCTGGACGGAGTTAAGATCAGCGCAGACAGGCGACTGGTTGACGTTTATCTGCTGTGAAGGAAGAGCAACAGAGAAAAGGCTCTAATAAAAGGGGACAGCAGATGTCAAAACAGCGCCGATTTCTCTTTTTTACCACGTAAAATTCAGACCACAGAGAGAAACTCCAGAACAAAGAGACGAGCTGAGCCTGTTTCATGTTTCTGTCTCCTGTTGGTTTATTGCGCCATCTGCTGTGCGCTGCGTCTCCTCTCCCGTCTTCACGCTGCTGCTTCATTTCCTGTTTGGACCCCCCCCAACACCCCCCCCTCCCCCCCACACACACACACACACACACACACACACACTAATCAGATAAAACACTGCACGGGGTTTGCACCCTGTTTTCTACAGGCGTCAAGAAAGAAAGAAAGAAAGAAAGAAAGAAAGAAAAAGAAAGAAAGAAAGAAAGAAAGAAAGAAAGAAAGAAAGAAAGAAAGAAAGAAAGAAAGAAAGAAAAAGAAAGAAAGAAAGAAAGAAAGAAAGAAAGAAAGAAAGAAAGAAAGAAAGAAAGAAAGAAAGAAAGGAAGAAAGAAAGAAAGAAAGAGTGATTCAGTCTTGCATCATTGCCTTGACTGCAGTGAGTTCACAGGGAGTTCACGAATGCGGGCAAAAAAATAAATAAATAAGTTGAACGGAAGAAGGAAACCTGCATCTTCTTTTAATTGCATTTTTAAAAAATTGTACTTCTGTTTCTACTTCTTTTTTGCTCCCCATTACTCTGACGCCACTCGCTAAAATCCAGAGCCTGCTGTTCACTGTGTGCTGATGATTCGACGACACTGAACACATTTTGACTCCACTGTTGAAAGAAAACCCACAACCTGCTCAGAGCCTCCACCAGCCATGAGAGGAAGTCAGCAAACACGTGGAGGAAGTCGCTCTGGATAAAGGAGGCCAAAACCGAACAAACAAGAGCCTTTAATAAATCACGGTGGAGGCAGTATGAAGCTGTGGGAATTTCAAAGAGGTAGTTCAAGCTGAATACAGAAAAAAAAACATCTTCTGGGCAGAAAATTCAACGATACAACCAGCATCATCAGTGATGTGCATAGATGGACACTAGGTGGTGCTAGAGCTCTTGAGATTTTCTGTCTAGACAGAAAAAGGGCCCTTCTGAAATGATTTTTTTGTGTGTAGTGTGTGCCCCAAAGTAACCTTTCTGGGTTAAAAGGCCCACACATGATGTTCAAGATGTCCCTCCAATAAATCTCACTACTGCGCTGCCCCGTTTTTCCTCTCCAGTGCCCGCCTCCCAAAACTCACGCCAGTGACTTTCATGCGTTAGAATGGTCCAGTCAAAGTCCAACTCACCAAGCTGTGGAAGACTCACGAACACTTTGACTGTCTTTATCCAATCTGACTCTTTCTCTCAGAGTTGTAAAAAGTACATTTCAGTGTCGTCACTGGAGGACAGCGATGTTTGGGTCGCTTTTATGAACTTATGGAACTAAAAAACTGACAAAAACAAGGAACGACAGATATGCTTTATGGGATCGTTGTTAGTCAGCTTAAAATAATGTGATAAATATGATTATTTATTGACGATCGGAACAGTAAATGCAAAAGAACCCTAGATTTTTTTATGACTCGATGGAAACGGACCTCTGATATAAAATGAATAAAACATACAGTGAGTCTTGGACTCATGCACTCACACACACACACGCACGCACACACACACACACACACACACACACACACACACACACACACACACACACACACACACACACACACACACAGAACATGGGCCAGGCCAGTGTGTTTTATGGTTTAGCCATGTTTAATTATTTACTCCTGTCTTTCTCAGACAGGGCTGGTGTTGGTTTCCATCACACCGGGCCGCCTTCTCGCCTCTGCTCCTCGTCAGGTTCGATCCGGCTCCACAGGCCTGACTGGTGTTCCCCGGGATTTTGTTTTCTTTCTTCTTCTTTTTTTTCCCTACTGACTGCCGCGCCGTTCTAGATGTGAACATGTCGGGAATTAATGGCGACCAGCTGCACCGCTCCACCTTGGGGATTTACCGGGTGAGTGAAAAAAGTCTTCAGAACTAGTGGGCGAGAAGGAAGGAATCACTTCCACTAATCTTCATCCCAAGAACAATTTGAGTCTTTTGGTTGTCAGAGAAAATGTGTGTACATCCTCACCGATTGAATAGAACATGTTCTGGTACTGATCCCACTCTGGGTGGATCCAGACTCTCTCGAAGTTTCTCTTTTTTTCTCGCTTGCTGTCTTTCAAAATTCAAACTAAACCTTCAGTGAATACCTGCCTGTGCTTTTCTATCAGAATCTGACTGACGAGTTCAACCCCAGTCTACAGAAACTGGTTTCACTGGGAAACAGCTACGCCCATGCCTTCAAAGGTAAGGAAGGAACACAGGAAGGAAGGGAAGGACACAAGTAGTCATAGAGGAGGGATAAATAATTGAGAGAAAGAAAAAGAAACGAATCAAGATTTAAAGGCAGAAAAGAAAGTTTGCAAGACCCACATGGTAAACGGTCAAACGAAGAAAGAAGGGAAGAAGGTGGGAAAGGAAGCAAAACAGGCAGGAAAGAGCAAAGGAAGGAAGTAAAAGAAAAAAATAAAGCAAGAGAGAAAAATTATAAGACGGAAGACTTTCACCAGCTCTCTCTCTTAGAGGTGAGTTATTTCGAAGGAACTACTTACATTGTAGGAGTTTTTTTCACCTAGAAGGAAAACGCCTCTAGTTTCATTTGCCATCAATAAAAATGAGCCGCAGCCATAAAGACATAGAGCTCTGACCAGTTAAGAGATGGTAAGCGCCACCATCTTTTAACTGGTGAGGCGTTCAGTAACGGCCCCACCGGCACACATTAAATATAGATTAACATCCTATGTGCCACCTGCAGCGCCGCTGAGCCGTAACCCTACGCCGACGGCTTGTTTACTCAGTTGATTGAGCTCTCCACTGTGAGTCATAATAATAATAATCATAGCCGTTTTTATTGGTCTCAGATTTTGTCAGTTATTCTGCGATTGTTGTAAAAACTACGGAGTCGCAGTTATGATTGGGTGACTCCAGCCTCGACTCCTTTCTCGTCTCAGGATTTCCCTGTATTTAGATCGTCCAGTCAACGCAAACCCAACTTCCTTGTTCCCACTGAGGAACAGCATGACGACGCCACCGCCGTGTTTCACCGCTGTGTACTCAGGTTATGGAGTGAAGTTTTTAGGTTTCCGCCCCCTGCAAAAGTTATGTTTTGTGGTTCAGGATCCGCACAAATTCCATGTCTTAAGAAACCAGAAACGTTCATTTCTGAAACCTGGTTTCATAGTGGATGAATTTCAAATTGGCGGTTTCATGTTTCCATGCAAGCCATATCTCCTTTTTTTTTTAATTGATGATGTCATAACTCCATCTCTAACTTTCACAAATCACAAAAATGGCTCCACTCTGTTTTTTTTTCTTATTCTTTTTGTGTGTGTGTATGTGGATCTGATTCTCTGGTGGTGTTACAGCGCCACCGATTGGCCCGGCATATCTATTACATCACATTCTGTGGCGACGTATGTTCTTTCTTCAACATTTACACAAGAAAGAAGTATTCGAACACCATACTTACTTAAAAAAAATAATTCTCACATTTTTCTTTCAACAATAATTTTACTCCTGCTAGTCTTTTGTAAAGGCATGATTTATGGAGTGCACAACTAAATAGTGTCCCCTGAATAAAAAGCTCTCTTGTTTCAGATGATGGATGCGACAGTTCTCTGTAAGATGCTTAGAACCTTTTTTTCGTATACCATATAAACCTTTTCACAGCCTTCCACCTTGTATGAATTGTTTCCTGGTCTTCCTCCTGCTTGGAAAATTTGGAATTTGGAAAATTGATGTTTTCCAAGAAACCTGCGATGCTTTCGTGCAACAGCTCGATTCATACCGACATTAAATTACATGCTTGTGGGACTTCGGGATGGAAATAAATGCACGCCACACTTTTCAGCTGATTCATTAAGAAAAAATGTTTTCTTTCCTAACAACCTCCAGTTTTGCGTCCGTCACACAACTGAAACGCGTGTGTTTGTGTCACAAATGTGGAAAGAAAAAGTGATAAACTTTAAGCAGACATGAATGTACTTATTGCAAGACTCTGTTGATAAAGTGTCTGTGTACGACAGACGTGTCTCTGAAAGCTGCTTTTTACTTCTCTGTTTCAGACCTTGTCGTCACCAGCGAGGCTTACTTCACGGCCCTCTCAAAGATCGGAGAGAAAGCTTTCTACTCCGCGTCGTCCCGCTCCCTGGGTACGTCGCCGCGCGGCTTCGCCGGGACGCGTTGGGTTTGTTATCCGGGTCACTCATTAAACGCAGCGTCAGGGGGGATCAAAGTTCAACCTCGGGCCGTGTTTTATTGCTCCCCGTGCAAACACGGCGGCGAATGTGCAGTGCTGCGGATTTCTCTTGATGTGCGTGAAGAAGGTATTTCACGTTGTTTAGCAGTCAGAGCTTCAGTCATTCTGGCTTCCAGCTCAAAGCTAAGCAAACCAGGCCTGGTGTGAGTTTTCTTCCAGTTACTCTGAACCAACAGAGCAATGTTCCTTTATCAGTGTGAAGTCTTGTCAGGTGTCTGGTCTCTCTGCTGTCATTACAAAAATGCTAAGAACAACAGTTCTGTTGGCGTTTGAGCCCAACAAAAAGTGAAACTAGCCAACAGTGACCACATTATACCACCCATATCAGCACAACTCCTAGAAATATGTGCAGGGGCCTTGAAATAAATAGTTGTTATGGAGACTCGGTGCCCCCAAGCTGATAGTCTTTGCTTTAGAGAGGCTCTTTTTTGTCTTTCTTACCATTCTGTGGTGAAAAGATGCAAGTGAAAAGTGACTTCCTGTTCTTAATCCACAGCAGTGAATATAATGTCGGAACAATCTTCATCTTGGGAGCAGATTCAAGCTGGGAGGTTTTTTCATGGTCTTGGAAGTGCACTTGTAGGAGTTTTTGCTCATTCGTCAAGAAGAGCTTCTCTGAGGTCGGACGCTGTTGCTGGACACCTCGAAATCCGTCCTGTCGTTTTGAGGTTAGCGCGCTGCGTGGTCCAGTTAAGGTTTCCCACACCGGGGTGTTTCCTCTGACTCTTTGAATTGGACCAGGCAAATGCGTCTGTTCAACCAAACTGCGTGGAGCTTTCTGAGCAAAAGCTTCAGTCGTGACCCAAACCTCCAGAGAAGGAAGAGGGACCGACGAGAGGAGAACTTTGATTTCAGCTTAGCTGACCGGAGAATGAACAACAGCCTCGCATAAAAAAGAAACATTTTACAGATTTATTAGTCTGTAATAAATTATTTACCGCCTTGAATTAGATTATGTAGCCGTGCCACAGGTGTCATATGTATTTTAACGCCACAAGTTAATGATCAGTGAGTGAATCCGCTCATAAAAAACTGTCCTCTTATTTTCAAGGAGACGTGCTGATCCAGATCGCCGACAACCAGCGGAGGCTCACATTGGAGCTGGAGGGAGTGGTAAGTGACGTCAACGTTGATCAGATTGCCAGTTTTTTTTTTTGTTTGTTTGTTTGTTTGTTGATAGCAACGCAAACCGTGTTCATCTTCTTCCAGTTCCGCAACTTCAGTTTGGAAGTCCTGCAGGTGATGGAGAGCAGCGTCCAGCTGGACGTCGACTACATCTCAGTGAGTCAAGAGTCGATGTGACGAGTAAACGTCGCCGCAACAAAGATGCAAAATGGCAAAATGACAGTCAAGAAACTGCTCACATTTACGGTCGTTAGACTTTATTTCTGGACATTTTCTGGAATGTGTTACACTGTAAAAAAAGTCTCTAATTTACCGTAAAATACCGACAGCTGCGGTTGCCAAAGTTTTACCGTAAAGGCGGTAAAACTTTTTATGGGTGAACAATAACAATAACTTGTTGTGGGTAAACGCAATAAATACGGTAAAATTCAGTAAACACGAATACAGATTTTATCCGTAAATAACAATATATTCCGTAAAAATTGTCGCTCGCAGTGACGATTGTTTTTGACAGTGCTAAGAAAAGAAGAAAATAAATAAAATTACAAGGACACAATTGTACATTACAAGAATAAAGTCACAATATTTTTGAGAATAAGTGGTGGTATCACCAGAATAAGCTCATTCAAGAATAAAGCCATAATGTTAACAGAATAAAATCAAAGTATTTCAACTGTCTGGTGATGTAGCAACTTTATTCTTGAAATATTATGGCTTTATTTTCCCATTTGTTTTTCTCTTAAATTGACCCTGTTCTGTTGCAGTTATTAAATATTCAGACAGAATTAGCATGTAGATTCACAAGCGATTTCTTTCTTTAAACGCAGTGAGGCTGTTATTCTTAAAAGGTTCAAATCAATAGTTACAAGTCAAACAATGAGATGAGATTGTGGCGATATCGAGCTTGTGTACACTTTGGATCAGAACCGTGCCTAGGGTTGATTTCGTGATTAGGAGAAATTCTGATCCGAACTGTCCCACAGCACAGCAGGGCGACGTACGAGAGGGAAGTCCACAGGCAGGCGGCGGCGGCTCAGCAGAGGCAGCGGAGAGGAGGAACCGGCCAGGTCTGCTTCTTCACAAGTGGAGCAAAACGCTTCCTGATGTGTTTGCCGCCGGGTTTGATGCATATCTGCACCGTCCGTCCTCAGGAGTACCTGCATTTTCTGAGGGAGAGCCACCAGGAGGCGCTGGAGGAGGAGGAGAGGCGGTACCGCTTCCTGGCTGAGAAACACTGCGGCCTCGTGCAGTCCGTGGGCCTCCTCATGAGCAAGGTGCGAGGAGACTTAGCAGCTGGTCGGCGACTCCTGCAGTTTGAAACAGGAGGAGACGATGTTCGGCTCCAGCGGTCCCTGCGTCTGGCTTTTCTGATAACCAGGAATAGGTGACGCTCCCAGAGCAGCGTCACAGTTTCCACAGAAAGAGCAACTGCATCATAACAGGCTGCGTGTTTGACCTCTGGACCCGTTTTTATGACCCCGCAGTACTTTTATGTTCTACATTCACTGGGAACTCCTGAGGAATGAGCCTCTCGCTCTTCTGAAGACACAAGTTCCACTGAAACAGGTGGAATAATATATTTACACTCACAGTGACTGATTGTTTTCCAGTCATTCCTGTGCTCTGGTGGTTTAAACTGTCAGACTTGAGAGCTGAAGTTATTTCTCTCTGTGCGATCGACACGAAGCGTTGGGGAAAAACACTGCGTTGAAACAGTTGATCGCAGTGAGTGCTGCCCTCGTGTGGCCGCACGGTGCAAAGCACAAACCCGTTCCAGACACGTAAACACGTGAAACAGTAAGCCTGTGTTTTTGCCACTTCTTCATCTATTGGGCGGTTTTTTGTTTTTTTTTCCATCATAATCAATAGTTATCTTTCAAAGTATGAGTGAATGCGTAGGATGCTGTGATATCCTACAGAGTAAAGACAACCAGATGTCAGTGGCGTGTTGAGAGCAATGTGACGTCTCCTCTTCTTATCACGGATGTGGCCGACGCTCAGGCGTTGGCAAAATATTACTCACTGCTCTTATCTCAGCGGTTGCTAATTGCCAGCGTCCTCTACAGCATCAATATTGACAAGTACTAAACACACTCTGAGTCTCCACAGCCACTACCTGACTCATTTAATTGGCTGTGGCAAAAAATCAATGACATGATCATAAGCTACTCCATAACTGTTAAAAGCTGCTGCTTTTCTCAATTCAGGCAACGAGGAGCTGCACTGCATTCCTAGATCTATGTTGTGTTATCATTAGTGCTTTGATTTTTTTATTATTTTTTTTAATAATTAGAGTTGGAAAGCTCTAGTTAGTAATCAATGGCTTTTTGTTTCCCTGTTGTGGCAAAGCGAATCTACTTTCAATCTGACAGGAAAAAAAAACAACAAATGTTTGTTTTTCTAACGGAGGGTTAAAGGCAAAGTCTGAAAGTTACCATGACAGCCATTACATAACATTCATTTGAGAACGAGGCCTGAAAAAGGGTCTATCCTGTCGTTTTCTGAAGCTTATATCCACCTGAACAAATGTTCCCAAATTCAACATTTCACTTTTATACTGAAATTATGCTGCTGCAGTTAAAGTTGAATTTTTTTTTAAGGCGTTTTATCAGGAGAGCTGTTCTATTTGGCCTGATGGAGGAGAAGCGCTGCACTGCTCACACCTTTCTGTTTTATGTGACAGACGTCGGGGCCTCTCCTGCAGAAAGCCGACGTCTGGACGGAGGAGGTCAACGCCACCAGGCGACCTGCTGCCGTGGACAACACCGTGAGTTCAAGGGCGCCGACGACTCGCTGAGAAAACAAACCGCCGAGTCCGTGAATCGTTCATGCAGAGCTGCTGCCCAGGCTGAACGAAGCCGCGGTGCAGGAAAACCCATCTGCAGGGAAGGGAATCTGCATTGCATCCTTCTCTGGGAAAGGGAGAACAATTCCAATTTTTCGGTTTCAGCTGCAGGAGCGTCCTCTAGTGGAGGATCTGTAATTCAATTAGACTGGATTACAGAGGATTCAGCCTGCAGACAGAGAACCAGAGCAGAATTATGGCGTATAAATGTGTAAATCCGAATCTTAAGATGCACAGCGCCTCAGTCTGAAGGCCCGACAGCTGCGATTAGTGTTTGAACGAACAACCTGAGATTAAACCCTCGACTGAAAGGTGAAAAGGATCCACTGATCCCTTTGCACCGACAGGGAATTAATATGGATTCTGCTGATTTATTTTTGACTGATGTATTAGAAATGAAGCCTGTAAGACATTGAACACAGCAGGTATGTTCAAGTGGGTAAACAAAAATCTTGTTATTCCCTGTCTTTGTACTATCATAACAAGGAATATTTGAATCTGCGAATCAAACATTCACGGATTAAATGCTCCGTCTTGACTCAAGACTCCCACCGATTTATCCACATTACAAGTTTCAAATCTTGGAAAATCACTTGGAAGAAAAAAAACAAAAACAAAACTAGATTCTTTCTCAAGATTTTATTTAATCTTTTGAAACATTTCAAAAGAACATAGCGATCTAACCGTTTGCCGATAAACTACATTTATTTTATTTTGAATTTTTTATATTTTTTTGAGACCTAAAAACAACACCTTGTTGTCACAGTCATGAGTCGCAGCGTGACTCTCCAGAATTACAAAAGGAAAAAGAAGGTGAACATTTCCTTCCAGGTGCTTGGCATCCAAGCCGAGAGGAAACAAACGTCCACATGTGAGATAAGGGACGAGCAGAAAGAACAGATGACAGCTAAAGGAACTGAGCTACTCCCACAGTGAGTGGTGCAAATCTAGAATTGGGCAAAGCGACCGAGAAGAACGACCAGGAACCTGACAACTTGTAGAGACGCACACAGAAAGACCTCCAGCTGGAATTACAACCAGAGGTCGATGCAGGGATTTGTCACTTTCCTTCCAATCTGCACGCATAAAAACCCTGATACATTTATAACTGTGGTTATGATGTAAAAAATATATATATATATCTATTACCAAGATGTTTTTCTTGAATATGGAAACAGCCATGGTGCCGTTAAATTGACAAACACATCACTGGACTTATGGATGAATACGTGTTTGCAGGGCGGGTTGAGGGCGGAGGACATCAGACAGATCCGAGAGGAGATGACTCTGGGCAAGATACCGTCCAGGGGTGAGTGGATTTTATGGAGGAGAAAACATCACCATGCATTTCTACACACCAGGAGAGACTTTCCAATAGGTGGACCTCTTCAAGAGTTGAGCTTTATTTAGCCTTCTGGTAATTAACTGCAGTCCGCGGCACTGTTGGTGGAAATCAGCTTATCTGAGAGCTCATAATTATTTCTGTCTTTTTCATCCCGCATCCTCGTTTGTCTAATCACTTAACTCTCTTTTCTAAAGTTAAAAACACAAATAAATACATTTGGCCCAGTGATGGCAAATCAACAACCGACTAAAAGCGATCTCGACAATGTTAAACACCCTTCCTCTGTTCAGGAGGAAAAACGGCACCCTGTGGAGCACAATCAACTGATCTGCATCTCCCGCTGCTGAAACAAAAGGAAATTAGCATGCAGATTTAGTAGTCAGCTCAGAGTCCCAATGCGTGTAATTAGGAATAACAATGAATTAGAACTTTATCATGCAAATTTGAAAAGGAATTAAAAACGAAGCTCGGTCCCGTTCACGTCTCCCAGTGCATAATTTCGGCTCTTTATCGGACAGATTTGTGCTCCAGCTGTAACTGCTCTGCGTGTGTTTCGCAGCGCCGTCCCCGGTGGGAAGTGTTTATCGCTCCAGAGGCGGCGGCGGCGGAGGAGGAGGCGTGCCCATGAGGGCCAAGGCGGCCCACCAGCCCTCTGGCTCCAACCCCACCCTGCTGCCCTTCTCCAAGGGGCAGATCATCACAGTGAAGACCCGGCAGCCCAGGAACGGCTGGCTTTACGGATCCGCCGAGAACGGCTCAGGGTGAGGGGTTGTCACCCACTTGTGAGATTGACACTTACAAATCTACACTCCTGGTTGTCATCTTTGCTCCCTGTCGTTCTCAGTCAGGGATGGTTTCCAGCCTCCTATGTGGAAGAACTTGACGATCCTCCGAAGTCGCCCAGCTCCTGGTAAATAACCTAAAAATCTTTCCCCCATTAAAATGATCATAAGCATAGAACTGTAAAAAAAAATACATTGAGTGAAGCGTAGATTTTTGAGGCTTACGCTGCCACGCAAAGACGTTTTGGACAATTTCATGCCCCATCCCCGTCAGGAAGAGGATATTGCTTCAAAATGGCTGCATGCCAATCTACAAAATAAAGGTCAGCAAAGAAGATGATGAAGGATGAGTTCGGTGTGAGGAAAACTGTGACCTCATAGAACACCGTTGGGATGAGTCGGCGCAGATACCGTGAACAAGGTCTTCCTGTCCAACATTAGTGTCTGACCTCACAAATGCTCTTCTAAAAGCGTTCCCATAAACCTTGTAGAAAGCCTTTCCAGATGTGTTGACTCTGCTGTGGTTATATGTATATGTGAAACACAATATAATTGAAAATTATACATGTAAAAAAGTTTGCTGTAGGGAAAACTAAAGTTTAAGTTTTGCAAATGTGCTTTCATCTCTCACAATTAGCAACTTTTGATTCAGTGTCAGTGTTAAATCTTTTTTAATTCATACAATAATGCGTCTTTTATGCTGCGGAGAAGTTAAAAAAGATAAAAGTCACAAGAGCTGAAGGAATTTTGTCTTATTGCAGGTTACTTTTTCTTTCTGAGAAAACATCCAGGCTGGCTAAAATCCACTAAATACTCGTGGGAAAGTGTTTTTTTTTTTTTTTTTTTTGTTTGTTTTGTTTTTGTTTGTTTTTTTGTGAAGAAGAACGAAGCTGGCAGAAATAAAATCACTCAGGAAAACTATAATTGCTTCATCACTCCATATAAACTTCATAAATAAGCACAACTGGATAAAGTGACTAAATGAAAGGCCTGAGGTTATAATAATAATAATAAAAAGTACAGATCATGTTCATTTGCTCCAAGGCTGTTCTTCTTATTTTTGGGGCTAATCATTTTAAAACAGGGTCAGTTTCAAACTTGCGTCTGGATGGATGAAATGAACTACTTACCATATATGGGTGACCCATAGCTGTGGGAGAACCCACAAGAAGGTGCTTGGTCTTTTTAGCAAGCAGAAAAAGTACACACAAAACTAAATTTGTGACAAATTCGACTTTGTTTGAGAACGGTTGTTTCCTCTGTCCGTAGCCCAGGCTTAAAGCCCTCTGTCCCAATACAATGATTTTTATGTTTAAGATTTCTAAGAGTCAAACGGGGAAGATTGCACGTCTTCTGAGTTGACATTTCTCTCGCCTTCACCCAGGAACCACTCTCTCCGAAGCAGCAGCAGCATGAGCGACCTGCTGGACCAACCAGGAGGAGGGAGCAGCAGCAGGACCAGCAGCGCCATGAGCAGCGTGTTCGACCTGCCAAAACCCAGCAGCAGCATCCATAGCAGCAACAGCATCAGCAGCAGGAGTGGAGCCCCGCCTCCTCCGCCTCCTCCACCCACGCAATCCTCACCCGTGAGTCTGACGGAAATGTCGTCTTACTCAGAAAGCCATTAGGAGTCAGCCAGAAACGGCTGAGGCGAGCGCTTCGATGATGACTAACTTTGAAACTTTTACCACGATTGAGATCTGAAATGTCATTAACCAGCCGGGAATGGGGTTGTTTTTGTGTTTTTATTATTATTATTATTATTATTATTATTATTATTATTATTTATTTTTTTGCCATAGAACATCTACTAACAAAATTCATGCAGAGCGAGTTTGGATTCTAGATGATGAAATTCAGATCCACCATGTTCGTTTCTGTCTTGCTGGTGAGGCAGCACGCTTATAGAAACTGAAATGATGCAACTCTGGACCATGGTGGATGTGTCGGATGAATTTGAAAATTTAAATTTTGAAGCTGTTCTTTCAAGAAAATGACGGGGAAAAAAAGAGTTATGAAAACTAATTTTTTTGTTTTTGTTTTTATACTTTTATAAGTTGTCTTACATTCATAAACTCTAAGCAGGAACAGCAGCAGCTGCGTTTCCATAACAAATATGCACAAAGGTTTGTCGATATCCTGCCGATGTCAAGAAAAACACAATTTTGCAGATGAGGTGTTTCTGTTAAATAAGAAATGAAATTAAAATCACAAAAAGTCGCTAATTTCACAGAAGAGCTATTGATTCTACACGTACGAATGACACAAACAACCTTTCGCGAACTTTGTCCAAAAACAAATCATCGTCAGTTTTTATTATTGCACACACAAGATCCCCTTTTGCAACTCCATTGGGTGAGAAAGAAAACAGGCACAGGGGGAAAGTTAAGTACTTTTACAGGATATTGTTATTCCATCATGACCCTTATAAGCAGCACTCTCAGTGGGACAGAAACAAAAAAATTATTCATCCAAAACTCACCTTATCTTTTATTCCAATTACTAATATAATTTGTAGTTTTATTAAAGCATTTTGCTTTTGAGGACATTTGTAGTTTTGAATGTGGCCAGAAATGAAAACGAGTTTGATATCCTGCCTCAAAAGAGCCGTGAACCCCACCGCTACGGTGGCCGGGATGGGGCTCCTGACATGAACGGTAGCTGTATTTCACCCGTCTGTCCACCAGGGGCGCTGTGGCAGATTGCTGTTCTCGATGACTCCTCAGCCGTCGTTCTGGTGGACGCAGGGCGGAAGCTCCAGCTGCTAACGACGTGAGCCCAGCGGTTTGCAGACGTGTTGCTGCTGCTTGGTTTCCACTGTGTGATGCTGTTTGCTACTCAACCGCACAAATAGGCCGATTAAATGTCCTTACATGAGCCAATGTTGTTGTTACAACGACCGTCTTGAAGTTCAATTAGCTGCAAATCTGCGGTAGCTTAAAGTTAGCTTAAAGCTAACGACGTGAATGAGAAAATGAATATTTTGTATTCACTTGTCTGCATGCTGCCGGTTAGTTTCTCCACTGTTGATACTTTAAAAATAGTCATGTGAACACAAAGTGAAGCATGTGCGTGTGTGTGTTGCGTACTGCAAAAAAACCCCACAAAAAGTGTTTTTGGTCTCATTTTAGTACAAATATCTTAATACACTTGCAAATCAAACAGAACTGATTGACTGACTTAAAATCAAGACATATAAGTTTGTTTTTAATCAATAATACCTTAAAATTGATGAAAAATGCTAGTTGCACTAGCAGATTATTACACTTATTATGTAGGAAAAACATCTTGGAAAAGAAATAATCAGTCAGTGGAAGTAGTACAGTTTTTTTCCACCAACATTCAGGAGTTATTTACTTCTACATCTTGATGTAAAGTTTCTTGTGTGTTAGTTTTGTCTAGTTTCAAGCCGTGCTAATATATGCATTAAAAACTGGACCAAAAACCTGGAGATATTTTGCGTTTTTGCACGACTTGCAGCAGGTCCTCCATTAGTGTGTGCATGCCGTCTGCGTTGGTGCTCCCAGCTGACCTTCGCTAACCTCTCTTCCTCTCTCGACTCTTCCTGCAGAAGTCGCAGTCAGAGAGATCGCAGCACGAACTCTTCCCGAGGTAAGAGCAATAGCTGCAGCCTCGCTCTGAACGTGGAGAACGGCTGTTAAAAACGAAGCCAATTCGTGACACTCTAGGTAAATCATGAAGCCATTAAATCTGAGAGCTATAGATGGGGCAGACTGATCTCTTCCATTTACGGGAAACCATTTCAGCCGCAGACGTTTGGGAACAGTTCAGAAGAACAGTTCACTAAACGATGTTTGAAACGCAGTTATTTTTAGGTATACTCTCTCTTTTTTTTTTTGTTCACATCTCTCTCTCTGTTTCTTTCTGCTCCTCGTCTTCCCGCCTCGGGTTCCTCAGGGGCACCAATCCGTTCGCCACGGTGAAGCTGAAGCCCACTAAGACCAACGACAGATCTGCTCCGATACTCTACCGCAGATGACTTCTCCGCCAGGGAAAGAGGCGTTTCCGTTAGTTTGACAGGTGGATGATCGGTGACGGCTGTTTTATTGAACCACAGCATCATCTGTGTGCCATAATGCCTTTTGACCAAAAAACAGAACAAAAAAAACATATTTGTTTTTTTTTTCCCTTTACATTCATACTCTGATAATTGTGACCTGTTTTTAAACTTGCATTAATTTAACCAGATCATTTTTCTGGATGTTTTCTTGACAGCTATCGTCATGTGAATGAGTGACGCAGTTAGTCTTTTAACATTTTAATACCTCTTGTGTTTTTTTTTTTTTTTTTTGTATTGTTACAAGCACAAACTTCAATGTATTTGGATTTCATATGTAAGAGCATGCTTTGTATATTTTTGGGGGGGGTGGGGGGACTCTTGTTGGACGGACGCGACACAGAATTAAAATGCTGCATCAGTTTTTAAAGCTTGGTTTGGACTTTAACTAGGCCACTGAAACAATATGCTTTGGTCCAAACCAGAGTTTCCTCAAACAGCATGAGCTAATGGCTGGGAACTCCCTATAGAAACCCACAGACATTGCTACAAAATTTCTAAAGAAACATTGGATTATTTTTACTTTTTTCTTTGTCCCAAAATGTTCCGTTTCCAGCTCCAACTTGACAAATTTGTCTGGCAACGAATCGGAGAGATGAGAGCGGCAAATAACGTTTTCCTGAATTTCCCCAATGTTTTGAGAAATAAAGGCTTTTTCTATCGCCATCTTCAGTAAGTTATTGTAGCATATTTTATAACAATGACTGGGGGGAAAAAAAACAGAAAAATTCTGAAAAAATTTCGTTCGTGTTCGTTCAATCCCCCCCTCGTTTTTGAACTTTCCCACACCTTCTGGCGTGTTTCTCATTCTTCTTCGATGTTCTCCAAACTACTAATTGGGCAACTTTTGAAGGCAACTGATTGGGTTTGGATCCTGTTCAGCAGAACAATGAAACAATTAACGCAATGTGAAACAAAGACCATGAACTGTCCCATAAAGTCGAAATAAAATACATTGAAGTTTGTGGTTTCAAAATGACAAAACTTTTTTTTTAAATTTATGCTGATTTTGGGAATCAGATCAAGATTTTCAAATGTATTCAGCAGTAAATAGCTTGTATAGCTCTATATCAGTTCTCTTTTGTTTCTGTTTTTTTTTTCCTCAATCTCTACAGCTCTATTTATATCCAGATGTTCTGATGAGATTAAAGTTCTGTCGCTAAATATTAAATGTTCTGGAAAACGAAGGAGGCAGATTGTGTAAAACTCTGGCGTTATGAATAATAATGCTGTGTATTAAAGGATAACGCCACGCCATCTGTCTGGGATGATCACTGATTTCAAATTCAAGCGCATCACGTCCAAGTATCACCTTTTCCTCACTGCCGATTTCTGGGAATATCAATGAATCCTGCTGCATTTGTTTTCCTTCTCTAACGAAGCGAACTAATGGGAGTTTGATGCAGCGAGGCGGGAGGTTTTCATCACCGTTTAAGAAATAAACTCTCATTTTTTTTGCCCCAGTCGTCAATGGCTCCCAGTTTAACGGCGCGCCGGAGCAAGTGGTGAACTTACTGATCAGACCTTTTTGCTCAGGCACCGCAATGGCCTACTAAAAAAAAGACCTAAGATCCCCGCGGTTCTTATTTGGGTTCTCCACTGGGCATACTTAACCTAAATTGAACCTTGGTGTGAATCCAATTGGGCTAATGGTTTGACAGCGGCCTGGCTCTTCTGAGGAAAGACTCCGGCTACTTTTTATCTCGACCTCAGCGGAGGATGTACATCCACAAATTAGAGGTTCTTCACCGGTCGCCTGAGCGGCTTGTTTTCCGGGAGTCTTTTGCAAATGAGGGCTAATAAGGTGTCACCTATGACCCGCCTAAGTCTGGTTGTGCTTCTTGAGTAACAGCGGGAGGAGGTGACAGAAAACCAGAATCAAGTCGACACAGACTCTGAGCTTTTAACGATTAGTCGACGTTTTCGCCACAAAATGGCTGGACGGCAAACAAGTTAAATGACTTAGAAGGTGAATTTGGGGCACGAGTTTGAATTTATTTAGTGTTTTCTCTTTATAGAGTCCAAACGAGGCCTGAAATACACACAACACCTTTAAAAAGTATGTGGCTAAATATTGGGTTAGCGAGTCGTGTTTGGTGTAATTCTGGCTGGAGATTTATCTAATATGGTCACAGAGTTAACCAGGCTCTAGTTTAATTCACTCCAAGCAGTTTCAAAAATGTTGAGAGAAATTTGAAGTTAGATTGCTGGGATTATATGTGACTTTGAAACATAAAAATTGGACAAAACGATGCAAGGTTCCAAGAAGCTATTTTATTTTTTTTATTTTTATGTTTTTTTGTTTTTTTCCAAATCTTTGAACTTGATCTCAGATCAGCAGCTGCATGGCTGCTTCAGGTTGTTCAGACATCACAGTCTGGACATTTTTTATCTCGTGTGAATCGGAGAAATTCGTGTTTGCCCGAAGGATGATGTTAATCATTTTTAACGTTCTGTACGACATCATTCCCAGTGTCGACTGAGTGAGTGTAAAATCCTGAGCTGTAGATTGAAAGCGAAAGAAAATAAACCCAATATATGACAAGACGACGTCCAGACTTTCTTTTATTTTACTCTTTTATTGTCTTTCACAGCTTGACTTCTGCCATCGTTGTGTTTTCGTTTTGATTTCTTTTTTTTTTTTTTGTACAACAGCTCACTATCGGGGGATAAAGTGACAGATGGAGAGCAGGTGGATGGACGGGACGACGGCGTAAGAGGAGGCGGGGGGCCTCGGTGACGTCGACACAGAGAAGAGAAGAAACGAGCAGGTTAGACAGACGGCCAGGTCAGGAGGTTGAAGGAGATGCTCTCTGTAAATATCTACATATGCTTCAGAGTTACAAACTTTAGTTGCAGGAGTGTCTCGTATCTTATACACGAACAGAAACGTGAAGAGTTTGTATATAAAAAAAAAAAAGCAAAACGGGACAAACGATTAAGCTGCGGTGCGGGACGAGCCTGCGGTGTTTCACTTCGTGGAGACAGCAGTGAGGCTGAGGTTAAAGGGAAGGAGCGCTTGGAGCGGGTTCTGGCCCGGGGTCGGGCCGCGGTGAGGTGGAGGCGGCGTGGAGTCGGGACGGCGAGCAAAGGGCTGGGAGGCGATCCGTCACGGCGGTGGGCGGCTGCTCATTCCTTCACGAGTGCGGCGAATTCTGGGGAAACAGAAAGCAGGCGAGAGCTTCGAGTTAGTCCCTCGCAGACCGACACATCCGTCAGTCCAGAGCTGGACGGACGGATGCGGCTGCTTCATCAGCTCACAACTCAAACTTTTTCTAACTCTTGGACATGTTTTCTTCAAAAGGTGAGATAAACACTTTCTCATCAAATTATGGTTTGGGCACACAAATCCTTTGGGGGAAAGTATTTGAATTTTTGTTTTTTATGGCTCTAGTAGCTCAGACATGATATGAGAGAGAGGTCAGGGGTCACCAGGCCGGGATTCGACCAGCCCTCTTTCTGTGGGCCGTGCTTAACCCCCGCACCACCTAGGAGACCTTGAATTAATTAGTTAAAGGGACAGTATTATGTGTTTTCCAGGCAGTGTTGTTTTATAATGTACTTGATCAAAGCTGTAAATGATTGATTTAGCATATAAAGTGCTATGTATATATATATATATATATATATATATATATATATATATATATATATATATATATATCATATGATTTAAAGGAAATTTTACTTCCTGATTTAGTGCCTTGAAATTGGTCTTTTAGTGTTGACACTCATGCACAACAAAAGTTTGTGAAGTTTGACAAAACATTACAAAATAAGCCAGAAGAAAAAGACGGTGTGGGAAATTGATTCCTTCAGTCCCAAGTGGATCTATTTTACTAAAGACACCAGGTTTCTGCTGGAGTTACTTTTTGCCTCATCAAGCTGCCTCTGCGTGTCTTTTTGAGTCAGACTTTCGCAGCCGGATTTCGTTTTTACCATCGATTCCAATCTTGCCGTCTCCGTCCTTGTCGGCCGCTTTTAAAAACGCTTTGGTTTCTTTGTCTGTCAGGTCTCTGCCATCCTTGGCAAAACCCTTCAGGACGAATCTGCCGGGAACAGGAAACGGAGGATTCAGTCAGGAAACGTGCCTCAGACTTCAGCGGCGTTTGTATGGAGTGAAAATAGTCTCAAAACACCTGTGCGCGTACAATGCTGGATTTGTAGTCTGTGCGAGCATCTTTGTGTGTAACTTTGCATAGCTGCTTCTGTGGATCAGGTTGTAGTTAAAAATTAAAAAAAGAAGTGTGTAGAAATGTAACATTTGTAGGAATAGTAATTTTGTGAGTGTACTTTTATTTCGTTTTCACAATTTCTTCATATGTGACTGTGTGTGACTGTGTATGCGTTTGACATTTGAAAGTACCCAAAGATGCTTACACAGATTACAAATCCAGTATTCCACACACACGCACACACCCAGGTATTTTTGAGACCATTTCCACTCCATAGATTTGTGTGTTGCCTTTTCTTTTTTTCTCACTTGAGCTCCTCTTCCTCTATAAAGCCGCTGTTGTCGGCGTCCAGCACCGTGAAGACCTTCTTCACGTCGTCGTGGGATTTGGACTTCAGACCAACAATCTCGAAGAACTTCTTGTGGTCGAAAGAGTCGGCAACTTCAGAAAGAAAGACAAGACACAGGAAATGCTTCAGCGTCAGAACTCCCGGTGTTATCTCCGCGCCTTTGGCTCCGTGACGCGTCTTCTTCCACAGACAACGGGACTCATGGTCCACGAAAGATAAGGTGAAATACGAGCCGGCATGCAGAAGGAGGCGTATTCGCCGTGAAAAAATAAAACGAAGCCCTTGACGATAGTAAAGAACCTGCGACTGGATATATTGCGGATTAGTGTGGTTTAATCTTTGATTCTCTGCATTCATGGCAATAAATTGATCCGACTTATCAATCACTAGCCAACCATTTTTGTGGCTTTGATTGGTGGATTAATAAAAAAAGAAAAGCTAAAAGACAAAAGTACAAATGGTTTCCTCCTCTTTAATATTCCTGTCCACAGCGACACGGTTTCCTCTAAAGTCGAACCAAAAATGGAGAAAGAAAAACCTGCCTTGCAGGAGCTTTGGAGCAGCAAGTTTCCCTCCTTTAAATGTGATTCTATTGTTTTTAAATAACTCTAACAATTATCCGCTCACCATTTCTATTCCATAAACTGAAAGCCTTCTGTGTTCTGAAAAAAAAAGTAAAAGTAGACATGCATACAATTTTTATTTGCTCAGAATACATTTCCTCTGATACAAAAGACTCGGCTCATTTATGCAGGGAGGCCTCTCTGCTGCAAAGTGAACTGATTTAAACAGACAAACATGCAGTTCATTCCAGAATCATTCTGACCCCTGGAAGGATTTGGGTGTGAAGTAATGTTTTAATGTTTAATGTCAGAACACATTCCTGAGCCGAACTCGACGAAGAATCTGTGGGGTTGAGAAAAAAACAAAACAACTGATTTAATGAAAACTGAATGAAAATGGTATTAAATTGAAATCTGCATGTAAAAAAATATCAAAACCCAAAACTGTGATCCTACTCCAAGGTCTCTGCCACGCACACAAAACTTTTGTTTTCAACAAAACTTCTTTTTGATTTGACTGGGCTGTGAGGAATCCAAGCTGGATTTCACGGATCCACGGGGAATGTTTCTTTGTTTTGTGCGGGTTTTTTTTTTACCTGCAAATGCGTCGAGAGCTTTCTTGATGTCGTCGGCGTTGAGGATGCTGCTCATTGCCATCTTGGCTTGCGGAGATAACAGGAAGGGGAGAAAAGGAAGGAAAGGGGGAAACAGAAAGGACAAGGTGAAAAACAAGGTTAGAGAGAGAGAGAGAGAGAACTGAAACGTTCTCGCGTTACACCGGTGTGCGCTCCAGAAATGGAGCAGGAAATCAGGACATGCGAGAGGGAAGAGATGGGTGACAAATGGATTGGAGACAGTTTAGAAAAGGTGTAAAGCTAAGGGCGGCTGCGGCAGGTGGAGGTAGAGGGAAACGATCAAGAAACTAGTTCATTGATGCCAGCTGTGGAATCCGACATCTCCAACAAACAAACGTGGAAACGACAGATGTGCGTTTGTTCCAACGGTGTGATATTGCAGCCAAGGCTTCTGCTGTCTCTGAAGCTCTGCTGGGGGATTTCACCCGTCGACACGCAGAGTCTCCCCTGTGAAAGCCGAGCCCGGCCCTCGGCGGCACTTTGGCTTTTTGCTCGGTGTGTGACTGAACACGATCGCCACTTATGAAGTCGGCACCCTCCGGCAATGCCCCTTTTTCACCTCTTCATATTGCGGGCGCACACACAGCAGGAAGTCAGGACTATGAAGGGCGTCTGAGGGAACGAGCAACAAATTGTTGAGGGGAAACATTTCTGTGTGACCTGCAGTCATTAGATTTGACATGATTTCCGATTCAACTATTTGAGCTAACCTTCCAGTCGTAATTGTTTTGCGAGCGTCCAGTGCGACGCAATCGCTGATGGGTAAAGTTTGAGACAACTGGAGCCAACAAAACCAAAGAGACTTGATGACAGTTTGGGCCAAAAAATGTCATGCAAAAAGCACTAAAGGGCTGCAAAACCATAAATTTTTTTTTTTTTTTAAGCAAAACCAACAGAGTTAAGTGAAGCTGTGTTTTCAAGTTTTGCTCAGTAAGTGTGAAATGGGAACACTTATCACACACTTTCATCAGACGTCCACTTGGCCAAGCAGGAAAAAACCCCATTCACTGCAGAGCGAAGGAGAAACTGAAAAATATTCACGCTTCCACTTGGCTTTACTTTCACGCCATCACCGGCTTTTTGAATTTGACACCACATGGGATTTGTTTATGTGGTTTTTTTCTGCTACAAACACAACACAAATTGGGGATTTTATGTTAAAAAAAACCCAAACAAAACAAAAACAAGCCAATCAAGCTGGGCGGTTCAGACAAGTACGAAGAAATAAGTCAAGTGTTCCTGACTTTATGACGTAGTTCATAGATTTTCTCCTCTGGTGTCAAACTGAGCTCTGGTGATGTATGAGCGTCTGCAGAGGCTTGGTGTTATCTAGTCCGGTAACACCCTGGTGCACACACACAGATCAATAATGAACAGTGCTTAACTTGTGTGGGCCACACATCCAGTCCTCTGTCACTGTAAAAGGCCCGACTTCTTCTCTGACCTTTAGCGCAAAGATATCCCCAAACAAACAATTCAAGACAAAACGAGGAGGAGAATATAGATTTACCGCAACGCGAGTAGAACCGTACAACGTGAGTACATTCATCCACTGATGTTTGTTATTCATTGACAATAAAAGCAATGAAAGTCTCAGTAACATCCACGGTTATCCAAACGTCACCAGATCGCGAAAAAAGTGGAAAACCTCATTACAGTATGAAGTTACACCACTCCTACGACCTAATAAATAAATAAAAAATCCAATTCTGTTGATTTTTTTGCCATCCTACCCCAATGCAGCAACATCTGCATGAGATTTCTGCATCTCCACCATCAGTTTCAGCCCTTCTATGTATAACCAGGGTATCTGTAAATACATTCGTAAACCCGGTTTTACTTTTATTTCACATACTGGTTGTAATTCTCTTTTTTATCAGTGTGGTGCTGTTGTATCGGAGAGACCTAAAAGTACAGGAAGTTAATAAAAAAAACCTCTCGTTTACGTACTGTGGCACTGTTACAGGTAAAACGCAAAAGTTCGAGCCGCGGCCAGTGGGAGAAGACGACCTCATGGCCACGCGAGTGAAGAATCCAGATGTTCCGTAATGAACAGGCGCCGCTGCCGTTTGTTACCAACAGTCTTTTCTATTTCCGTTTTCTACGACGCTGCGTTGCTACGTCTCGTGCTAACGGTGCTGCTAACGCGCCATTTAGTTGACGTCGTTGCTGGTTAGGAGCTTTTTCTGATGAACAACCAGCACATTACACCCGCAGCCTAAAGCATTATAAGCTAGAGGTTTGTGCGTACCATGCCACTCTTGTTAAATTACATTTCTAACAGGAGTCAAAGATATTAATTTGAAACAAAAAGTATTTTGTTTTTACATTTGGTGAAAACAAACGTAGTTTCAAATCTAACCAAAAAGTCAAGTTGTCCACTTTTAATGTGGGCAGTCAGACAAAGGCGATGATTTAACCTGAATGTCAGCTTATAGTGGAGTCTTCACGCCATATATGGTAAACAACTATCAACGCACATTAATGGTGGATCAAATATCATCCATGCTCTTGTCTCCAACTCTGGAGTTTCAGCTTCGCGCCCTTTGAAGAAAATAGAAGATTGTTTCCCTCCTGAGGATCTGAGTGTCCGTAATGCTGTCGGTAGGTGTGGGAAACCTGACCGGTCCCGCGCAGCCGCCAGCTCCCCGGTCCACTGGAACAGCTGCATGAGTGTGAACGTGTGTGTATTTATACTGAAGCACCAAGACGACTTGTGCCAAGGAGGCTTAGAGAACAACTTGCCTCCGTTTCAAGAAACCCAAGCTCTTCCATGCTTGTTGGAGTGCCTGTTTGTTAAAGTGGCTCGGATAAAGTGAGAGGCGTTCGGAGGGAGGCGACGCAGAGAAACACAATACTGCTGCGTAGGCAGAAAAGCAGGGATTAGATTTCACTTTAGAGGATTTGAGTTTTTGTTTCTGCTAACTGTGATGGTTCCGGCACAAACCCACTGAACTATAGGCATTGTTTGGTAGGATTGCGTGGCTCAGTAAGTTGGCTTTGTCATTTTAGATCAAAATGAAGCCACATCCCAAACATTAAAGCTCTGATCCAAAAAAAAAATAAAATAAAAAAGAAGACTAACTCAACAGAAAACCCACCGAGTCATTTCCTCCGCTAGACAAGAGAGGTCAGGCGGGAGAACAATGATCAAACAGGTAACTATTAACCTGACCTTTATAAGATCGTGAAAAGTGGAAAGCAATTCTTTAAAACCACAAAAAAATCAAATATTTAAACCTTTAAAAAAATCACAGCTTGGTTCAGAATCCAAATACTGCGAGTTACAGAAATCAAACACCTCAAACACATTGCGTGCGATCCGAGAATAAAACCCGACAGAAGCTGCAGGAGTCTTTGAGCTAGAGTCTTTCAGAAGGACAACAACCCCTAATTGTAGAAATATATTTATGAGCCTTATTAATGTGTGAGGACGGTCCAGTCAAAGTCCAGTCTTGTATCCATGGTTGTATTGGTTGTTGATAAGCCAATAAATCCATCATCTTTACCACATAGAAAGAATCACACATGCATTCCTTTAGTCAGGGCACACCAACAAAACAAAACAAAAAAAAAACATAAATCCGTATCTAATGCTGCTCTTCAAAGCAGCCGGATACACCAGCAACAAAAAGCCAACCTTTCTAAATCTACATTAAAAAAATACAACCTTTGCTGTAATCGAGGGCACAGATATTCAGTATGGTCATTTCATCAGAAGACGTGATCTACAACAAACCCAAGACACCTTCAAGACTTGACTTGTCTTACTTCCTGATTGCGATTAGACAGTGGAGAGCTGGTGAGTGCAGCAGGGGCCTCCGACCTGCAGCTTCAGGGCCACATGTTTGCCAAGAATGCTGACGCCTAGAGCAATGTTCTAACATCAAAAGCTAATATTGAACATGGTGGTGTAATATAAGACACATATAACTGTGTATTTATTAACGTTGCATATTGAACTAAACGAAGGAGCAATTTACAGAAATGTATTTTGCAACATCACTGTACTCATTCCACATTTACTTCTCATCGGTGGCTCCACCTAGTGGCGTGGAGTGATATTACACAACAGGTGGTTTCACCAGTTTTAAGGCGTTTCCATGCACTTATGTGTGTATATATAACATTTCCACAAAGAATGACACCAGTAGTAAAGTTAATATTCCTTTTCATTTTTGCAAATCTGTTTTTGCTTTTTCCTCCCCCCCCCCTCTTTTTTTTACATGTTTTTCAAAAATTTGTTGTGAGACATAAGAAAATCAAAATAGTTGAATTAAAAAATGTGAAAAATTTTCCAATAGCAGATATTGTAAAAAAATAAATAAAATAAAATAAAATTCTTATAGCTTTTGTGGCTCTAAGCTAATTTTGTTTATCTGAACATAGGCGGGGGAAAAAATGACATTTTTGCTTGAAAAGCTCACTGATCCCTGATCTAGACAGATAAATTAGAAAACAAGAACGACTTCAACAAGCCATTCACAAAGTGATAACTATATATATATATATATATATATTTTTTTTTTTTTTTTTTTTTTTTTTTGTGAAGGAATTTCATGTGAACCGAGGCTCATTTTAAAAACCAACTCCCTTTCAGCGCGGGTTTTATTTCCTATTGATGTAATTTCAAACAGGAAGAGAAAAACCCGCAGAGAAACAAACACCTTTATTGTGCGTGCATGCAGCTACGCGCCACTGCACAAAGAGAGAGCCTCACTGCGAAGGCCTGGGGATCATCTGGCTGTTATCGCCGCTGTCCACTGTTTAATCCTCTGGCAGGTTCGGCACAGGAACAGCAGTCAAGCACAGGAGGATGAGTGTGGAGAGCGGAGGCCGCGGACAGGTGCAAAAGTACCGACACGTTTTCAAATCATCCTCACCGTCAGCTTTACAGCTCGTCAATCTGATCACTGTTGGTTCTTGCCTTCGTCGGCTGTGTTGTCCTGTGTGAAGCTTTCCGAGATTTTTCTAGCAAATAGACGTAGAATCGCAAGAAAAGCACGCATCCTGGAAACCAAAAATAAAAAAGGAAGCAAAAAGCTTTTTTATTGTTGTTGAAGGTTTTCACATTGAGAGCATGTTTGTTTTATTTTGAAGAGCAAATTTACTTTGGAAACGAAAACATACTTATCCTGGCTTCAGTTTGCAACCGATGAAACATTGCTCCCTAAAGCTCTCCAAATGTGAACGGACTCTCTCCACAATGCATGCATGACACCTAATTTAAACTTCGTCAGCTCTTTTGTAAATATCACATTAGGACGCAGGCCTTTCGAGGGAAAGAGACAGAGAAAGTTTTTATCACATCAATCAGCTTATTGGAATGGATTAGATTTAGGTAACAAACCCTTATGAAGACAAAATATTCCACAATTTCACATTGAAATGTGAATTAAAATGTAGTGAAAGAAGCACACAGAATCACTTTTGCATGAAATATTCCTAAACAAATGAAAAGTTCAGTCGATCTCACGCCGAAAGAGCGGTATTTAAAGACACAGGTGTTTCATTCGGACACTTCGGATGAGACTCCATGTTGTTCTGATGGTGGATATTTAAGGTTCAGTCTACCGTTGTTTATTGCTCTTGAGTTATGATTTACTCGGTCCGCTTCATTTACTGTTTCGTCTAACCGAAGGCGTCAACGCGACGTCGACGAGAGACGCTTTTCCCGTCCCAAAAGGTGCGACTCAAACTTGTCCTTGGAAAATTTCAAACAAGAACAACATACCGCGCCAACTTTAACTTTTTAGTTCCACGAAGCAATTACTGTGCAGATACGCTCTCGCTGTATCTTAATCTGATCTGCTTTAATGAAGGAGGACGTGAAAGAGGCTAAATTGCCTTCTAGGACATTTCTCCAAAGACTTTCATGTTAATCTCTTGCTGTACTTTCTTGAAACCACTTCAAAATGTGGATATCAGCCTTGCGTTAGAGCAACCCGGCTTTCCCGGAAAAGTCTTTTTTGTTTGTTTTTGTTAAAAATGTTTTTTGAATAAATTAGCTGCTTCAGTTAAGAGGATGAAACTCCACAGCTAAATCATGCCCCTTGGTTTTTACCTTGTTACTGGCTGGTGGACGGTTGTGGATGTGGGTCGGGGGGTTGGGTCGGCGCAGCAGGGGGTGTCCAGTGAAAGATCAGAGGCTCTGCTCTTTGTTTTATACATGTCCTCCACAACTATTTTTGGGATGAAAAATGGGCTCCCGGCGGTGATGTTCCGCCGCCGTATCGCCTTCCAGCCCGGCTCATGCTAATCAAACATTACTATTAATAATCGTCCATCTCCAGCCCCCGTTGATCCAGACAGGCTTATTGAGCCCCTCCTCCGCTTGGCTTTCTCCTCCTCGTTTTCTCACACCGCCTCCCCACCCGGGGGACCTTGCTTTGTCCTCTGTTCCGCCTCGTCTCTGATCTCCTCCTCTTCTCTCTCTCTTAAACTTTTAATTTTCACTTTTAATTTCCATCAAGCGCTTGTTCCTCTAAGGCTCTTGGTAACGTCGGTGAATAATTACGAGACCTTGCGCCATCTTTCTTCTTCTTTTTTTATGGCCCTCTCAAACTCAACGTGTAAGGATGAAGGTCTTGAAATGAACTTGAGCTGCGAAGCTCCACTGAAGGTTTCTGATGAGGTGAAAGGTCAAACCTTGACTCGTAAAGACAAGACGAAGCGCGATTTGACTTTATCTGGTCATAGATCCTCACACTGTAATAACCTCATGGTAAAAGATAGGAGTCAAATAACAATAATTCCTACAAAAGTATAAAATATGTTCATAATAAATACATTTATTTCCAGTTAAAATTGGTTTTTATTTTTTTATACATCGTATGATTGTTGCTATTCAAACGTGTCTATTAAATATCTACATATTTGGAATAACAATAACTTTCCCCAGCTAAAAAAAACAAAACAAAAAACAAAAGCAGGTTTTTCTGAAAAATTGTAGAACATTTACTATTTTACAAACAGAAATGTTCTTGTTTTTTTCTGGAAATTTTTAGAAACTAATGTATTTGTGGGGTTTTTCTTGCAAATTTTGGACTTTCGTCCAGAGAATTTCACTTCTAGTCAGCTTAAACTGGCTCCTGTTTAAACTGCTTAGTTTAAGGTTAATTACTTATGTAATTAGGTTACTTAATAGTACGATAACTGGTAACAATCAAGTTACCAGTTTCTTTCTTATAACTTCATTGTACAGTAGTTACAAGTAAGTTGACTTTTCTGTACATCATTGAAAAGTGTAATAACTTTTTCCAGCCAGCTGACCAGGGGTGTTTACCAACAAGTGGGGGAGGGGCGTACAAAATATAAGAACAAAATGTACTGAGTCCTACTTCCTTCTTCATGAAATGTAAAATAAATAAAAACAAAATAAATCAATTGGCATCAGAATCTGGATCAGCTAGTTCAGGTTCAGTTTGGAGTCGAGCTTTAAGTATTTTTTTTTCTTGAACATTTTAGACTTTTAAGAAATTATCTTTAACAATAACAGCCTCTGCAATCTTTACCTCCAGAACTTGAATGATTGATTGCTCTAGATTAGCAGCTCTGTGAGCCCAAAAAAAATTAAAAAATTAAACTAAAGTAAAATAATCAATGCTTTCCTTGGCGTTTTCCTTAACTAAGAGTAAAACTCCTTAAATAGAAAATAAAAACTATTCCTACTTGCCCAAAATGTGACAATATTTTCTCTTCCACCTGTTTCCCACTGGAGTCAAGAGGCAAGTGGGGAAAGAAAATGTTTATGTGGAAGACAAAGGTAGATAATAAAAGAAAGAAGATAAAATAGTGATGATAAACAGGAGAGCAAGAGAAACCTGTGAACTCACCAAAAAAACAAAAAAAACAAAAGGGAGGAAGAGAAGGATGGATCCAAATGAGGAGAAAGGAAGAAGTGCTGGGAACAAACTTTGCCTCACGTCCATCCAGTTGCAAAACTCTTGACGTCGTGAGTTAAAATAACGATCCCAGTTGTCTCACCGCCAGAAATTACTGGCCTGTCTCCACATTGTCGCGGCTCGGTTTATCAGCCCGAACTCGTCGATGTATTGCTGTAGAGACCGGAGAGCTCATGTGGAGACGGGTCTCCGAAGTGACTGGAATACAAATGTGGAACAGAAGCCACTTCAAACACGACTCATCTGTAGTCGATCGGTCCTGGGCGGCTCTCTGGGCCGACGCAAACCGTCCCCGGATCGGTGGCGAGCTTTTGAACGAGGGCATTTGAATCCCTCATCGGAGGAGCTTTGCGAGATTTTGACATCACAATGCAGTAAAGCTCGTTATACGAGTCGAAACTTCAGAGAGGTCAAGGAATGCATACAGTATAAAACTTCCAGACCTCTTTGTCTCACTTTGGCCGCATTAATTTCTTAATTCTGACTTTCCTTCCAGAACCGGGACTTAAGCAAACATTCGGTTCCACGTCACGTAACTCGGGACAAAGGAAAATGATTCTCTTGGATCAACCAGGGAAGGTAAAGTGGAGGTGGTAGCAGAATTCCTTGGAGGAGACAAGAGAGCGATGCTGATGAGACGAGGTGTGGAGACAGATGAGATGCGAGTCCTTTGAACTCGAGTGCAGGTGAGCCAACATCCCGCAGACGCACCGATTTCTTTTTTTTTTTTTAAGATTCACACTGAATTACTGATTCGCACATCGACCCTTCTGTTAAAACGGCAAAATCCTCATTTTCCATCCATGTTCTTGCATCGAGGTTCACCTTAAATGAGATTCTGTTGAAAAGTCAACACAAAAGTGTGACTAAAAAGTTTCTTCCTGACTCATCCTGCTGTCATTCACGGCTTTGTGATGCATTGTGGGAAAAAAAAAACATATTATCGGGTGAGCGTGTTGATACTGATGCTCCCTCGAGAAATCTATTTAAATAACGAGTTAATGACGCAATTTGACCTTCGGGCATTTTTATGCAGCACAACTTTCATCAGTGGCTCCATCTTTGTTTACAAAATAGAAAAACAAAAAAAGAGAGACGTGTCAGGTATATTAAAAGTCTCTCAAATCCTTCTGGACGGATGAAAGATTTATAACTTTTGCTGGATGAAAAGCAGGAACTCCATCGCAGGAGGCCCCACTTCCCCTCATCGTCCGATCAGATCGAAGTTAACAACACATTTAAATCTCAACTCCCAGTCAAATTAATCAATAGAAATGACTGATGGACCGGGCATCTGCCTAATTTGTTGCTGGTACTGCATTTCCTACCAGCTGACGACGCAGATCAAAATCCTAAAGCAAAGATGTCGGACCAAAGAATTTCACCCACATTTATAGTCCAACTCAACACCTCGTTCTCAAACTGTTTCCTAACAAATTTTTGCTCTAGTTTTGGAGATTTTCTTGCCCAAATCAAATCGTCTCAAATCCACACGTATCTCTAGTTCTTCCATCACTTGAACCTTTAGAATCAAAGCTGCACCTGCAGATCAATTCATCCCATAAATAATCCAAGTTATTTACCCCACCTCTCAGAGTTCACAACGTTACGAATGCAAATATTCCTCCTGCTGCTTTCACGGCTCGACTAAGACGAATTTAACTCTTTTGGAAAGTATTAAACTTCCACATAAGGGAAGAGCAAGGCGTTGAGGATTAGCTGCAGTCGGCAATTGTCCCGCTGCGTTTCACTAGAAAACCTTTTCATTGAGCAGCGTCAGTTTCAGCCGCCATTTAGGAACGTTTCATTTCAGCTAAACGCAGAAAATGCAGTGTTCAACATTCACTGCTGATCAGAAAATGCCTTAAGAGAAATGAAGGGAGAGGAACGAGTAAGAGGGAAAAGCGCTCGGTGGTAAAAATAAATGAATTAAGTGTAAAGACAGTATACTGTCTTTACACTTGAAGACAGTACCAGTGTCTCTTTCACAAACATGTCTGTTTGTGAAAGAGAGAACGGAGAGAAGAGTTCAAACGCTCGGCTTCCTTTGACCTTGATGCCGCTCCTGCTTTGCCGAGTCAGCACAACTTTCCTGCCGTCTTCCTCACACTTGGAGGGTAGAGAGTGGAAGGAGGGAGTTTGTTCAGGACGGTGAGAGAAACATAACGGAGAGGTAGATAAAAGGAAACGAGAGAATGGAAATGTTGCAGAGAGAGATGGAAGCAGAGGAAGATTTCAACAACACAGCAAAAGGAACTACTTCCTGGATGATGTGAGATCCGGTCCAACATAATTTCCTTTTAGTTTCTGTTTGTGGCTTCTTAATAATTGCTCTTTCAGGCAAAAAAAAAAATAAAAAAATCATGTTTATGAACATTTCCCCGCTGTTTCTGGGAAAACATCAAACCCTGGTTCATCTGGCGCATTTCCATGCAACGCAGCACGTCTCGTCTCCGGGCCGTTGCTTTGCACCGACTGGAAACGCCGGGCTACTGAGAGTCCAGCGGCACCAGGAGACTCCCGAGTTCTGACAGAATGATTGACGCGCCTTTGCAGCGCGGAACGGGTCGACGTTCTGATATGGGAACGAGACGAGGCAGAAGAAAACATGCAGACGGGATCAGGGAGGAGGCCGCGTCAGAGGGAGCAGGATATTGATTACTGTGTCGGCCCCGTGATCTGAACGGTGCGGAAGACATGAGCTGCCGAAGCAACTGAGTTGTCAAGGTTCCTCCATCAGCCCCATCTGGACCACTTTTATCTTTTCAGAGCCGTCAGAGTGGAAGAAAAGTTTTTTGAGTTATATTTCTTTAAAACTTATTTATTTTGTTTGCCTTCTTTTCACAGCTTTACACATTTACTATGTACATTCATTTGTTCTGAGATATAGTCACAGGCCCCACATAAAAATATATATTTTTATAATTATCTATTTATTGTTGGTTCTTTATAGAGTTTTTGAGCTGTCAGTGTCCAGTTAGCAGTGGACAGTGTTTATCTTTGTCTTTCTTTTCATCTTTTTTGAGAACCAGAAAGAATCTTTCTACATTCTAATTGAATTTGTTTCAAACGAGTTGGTTTGTTGAAAAAACGATGGCTGAGAAACGTACGTGTTTTTGTATATTGCAGAAGAGTGTTTTAAAATTTGTATCCATCTTTATTCCTGCAACAAACAAATCTGTTCTGCATTTTGTTTTTTTTGTTTTTTGTAATTTTGTCTTTATATTCGACGTGCTATAAAAATGAATCTGCCTCAATTTTTCTAGTGCAAATTCGATGGGTGACGGTTTGGTTTACGCAGACCATAAAACCCAAACAGCAGAGAACCGAAAACA